TGGCAGGTCCTTCTTTGCCTYTGTTCTGAGAGCCAGTTTACTGCTTCACATGTTTGACACCACATCTCTGGATGGTAATTTACCTCATAAATTTCAAATGTTTATACACAGCAAGATGCTTATGCATCTATGTATATCTATGATATGTAGGCACCTCTGTCTTTTTCTTTTTTTTTCTTCCTCAGTATCTTTGACACTTTAGAACGCTTGTCTTCAGCTATTTCTTTTTCTGCCAAAACATATTTTATTTATATTATTATCAGAGCAGTTCACTTAGTAGTTCTGGGGAAAGCACAARGCGCCACTTTATTTGAATATAGAGCACTTCAGAAAGTTTACAATAAAACGCTAAATTTAAGGCAACAAAAAGATAGCACTGGACAGGAAGTTTACAATAAAATACGAAGTTTAAGACAACAGCAAGATGCCAGTGGACAGGGCAGCACAATGCACCATCGTGCCGAGTAGCAGATGTCCTCAGTGCTCCTGCTATTCCGACAACTTGCGCTGCCCTTAAGCGTTTGGAAGTGGTAACATAGGCTCTGCTCCAAAGGTGTAGCACCAACAGAARCCCGGGGTGCTTGTGTTTGCTTTTAATCTTTTCAAACACTGAAGCATCAGCTTGCTGGAGTTAGTGGCCTCATGTCTCGTCATTGAGCAGCAGAGCTGCTCAGACCTTTACAGCAGAGGTTCACACTTAGGGCAGTTCCTGTGGTTAAGATCTGGCCCAGTTTTACCCTCACAGTAACCCCCTTGGGTTAAGATCTGGCCCAGTTTTACCCTCACAGTAACCCCCTTGGGTTAAATCTTGTCCGTTCATGACTGCGAGCGGCTCAAGGGAGCAGCGTGCAGGGAATCCTTCAGCAGATGGCACTCTTCCCTCTGCCCAGGGACTTGGTACCTTGAGAGCCTCTGCCTTTACGCTCCGTGAATTCCAATAAAGCGCTGCCTAACTAGGCAGCACAGTAACTCCTGACAGTTCTTCACAGATCTGGAGCTCCCAAGTCCCGGTGTCTACTTCCTCCCTGGTTAGATCACTGCAGTCTATTTCTGTTTGGTCTGAATTCCTCCTGAAATCTTAATGGTGAATATATATATATATATATATATATACATATATATATATATATATATATATACACTAAGGAGCTTAGTAGTAGTTACATAAGTTACACATCTCAGAATCTGAGAGTAGAATTATTCTCCTTGTTCAGCCATTTTGCTGCAATTCATGATTTTATGTTACTATTCTGCCAACAGCAGACCCAGTTTAAGAATCTGCTTAACTACAACTGGGTTGTTGGTTTTGGTGATGGTGTTGCTATTTTGAAACCACAAAAAAAAAAATCATAGGTCCGGATTAAAAAGCAGTCACACTGAATTGCTCACTCTGTGAGTGAGGAGATAACATCAGGAAAGGGGGCAAAAAACCCTGCTAGGCATTAGGGGGCCGCCACCTCTTGAATCAGATCTGCTGGATAACCAAGTCATAATACATAGTGATGGTTTTACAGCCTTCTAAAGCACACCTTGTTTTCCTCATCCCTGAATAGGAAGGTATGAGAGTAAAAATAAATTTCTATGAGATAAAAGCTTGCAGGAAAAAAAAATGAATGGGACATATTTATAAAATGCAAAATATAAAGAGATAAATTATTTCATATTTTTAAAGTTTTGGATTCTGTAGTTATCCTAATATATCATTTTAGTTCATTGCTTTTCAAACATACCTTTAAGTATTTCTTTTTTTCTTGGACTGACACACATCATTTTTGCCTCTCTCCTGCACTCTCCAGAAATCCCTTAGCCGCTCATTAAAATCACAAAATAATATTTCTAAAATCTGGATCCCATAGCTATCATAGATTTATTTCTTCATTTAAAAGAAAAGGATTTGCTAACATAGTTCAAATAAATCTKCCAGCCTCTCTTTTCTCCCAGTATTAATGTTAGAGCCTGAGTATTTTGACCTGTTACTACAAAGACACCGTAAGGAATGTGTGAAAGAGGAATATAAAGCTTCCCTATGTATGTCTCTACATTGCCTGACAACTTTAGAGCAGCAGAAAATCATGCACTGTTGATAATGACCTACGGGCCTTCCTGTTGCAAGAACTGATATAAACCATTCTCTGTGAGGGAAATGACATCTGCTTTTAGTGACAAATATATGTATTCTTAATTTTTTCTTTCTTAATTCAAAGCAAAGCAAACTGGCTCTTCATGCATAAGGGACTGGACCCGAGATCAATGCTTTGTGTCCCCTTCAGAGAAACAAAGCAGCTAAAATGTTGGACCAATGTGCTGCAAACATGGCATAAAGGATTCACCTCTATATCCATTCTGTCCTGCAGCTCTTTTGAAAGAGTGACAGCTACAACAATCACATATTATCTTGCAAGTAGATGAAAACTTTCAAGTGCATTTCATAGAGAATTCCAGATAGTCGTCACACTGGTCACTAGTTGGGAACCTCTTATTTTGTTCATAGCTGATGGAGGTGTGTTGGTAAATGGTTTTTTTTTAGTCATTTTACAATGATTTATTTATTTATATATTTATTGCATTTATTTGGGAATGCAAAGTGTGCAGCTTTTCAAAACATGTTCTTTAAACAAATAAAAGCAAAATGATTTATCACTATTACGGTGCTGCCAATTTTTCCCTTATTCTTCTTCAACTGTCATTTTGTTCAGTCAGATAAAATATCTAGGTCATGAATCTGATCAAAACCATTTGGTTTATTATTAACACCTACAGATTTACAGCCGCTGTTGTGAATTCAGAGGAGCCATGAAGACCCAGAAATCAGCCTTCTAGACTTGCTTTCCAACAGTAGCTTCAAATCAAAGAACAATTTCCTGACTGAGTCACCAGGATAGGAACTGGGATACCAGAGTTTTATGCCTTTAGGCATATTGTAACCTAATTTTCAGGTCTAGTGAGTTCCTTTAACTCGTGTTGAATTCAAATGGAGTTCCAAGGGCTCAGCACCTCCAAAAATTGTTTATAAATCGCTGTATGAATGTCTTCCTTAGAGAAACTTTGGAAAGCTGTTTCAGTATTTGTGATATATTTTGAAATGCTGAATGATGAWGAAGTGCAGACTGTGCTAATGAGCAGCTCTTAACTTGAAAGCCTTTTTTCTTTTTTTTTTTTTTCTTTCTTATCCCAGTTCATGTGAGGTGAGGAATTGTTCAAGTTATCTTAAAAATATCACACAGCAATTACACTTGACAGCTCTCTAGCAAGGTGAGAGTAGGAGATAGACGGGCCGTGTGACACATCGCAAGGGATCCTCCACCTCGCTGTTAGGATGGAAGTTCAGTCACAGCAGGTCATGAGCATAAGGTGAAGKCCACGTGGTGGCAGAAGCAGAACCTGGCAACCACACAGGCTCTCCACCGTTTATAAGTCCCCATTGAACAGATCCAGAAGATATGGTGGGAAAACAGACATATGTTAGCTTCGATTTTGATAATTTTAAGAATGGGATAGAGAACAGAACTCAGTCAGCTTGCAACGCTGGCCAAGGAAGCAGCCGGTGAAGAACAGAGTTTGGTTCCTTACAAAGGATTGTGTGTGAAGGAGAGGTCTCACACCCGCTGGTTTACGGGGCTCTGCCTGCACTGCTCGGTTTTATGATTCAGAAGGTTTACACCAGGCATAAGCAAGAGAAGAAGTAGCAGTAGCCAGACAGACCTATGAGGTTGGTTGGGCATCAGTGTTTGGAGATGTGGCCAAAAAAAAAGGCTGATTTTCCATTTATTTAGAAGCYTAACGTGCATTAGAGGATGGTGAGACTTTTGCTTCTCAGTCCTTTATGGATTTGGAAACATTCGGCCAAAAAGTACAGTTGACTCTAAAACTTATCAATAAATGTCAAGCGCAATGGTTAAAAAAATCTATCAAATCCATGAATAATGGATGTGTTAATAAAAGTGATCAACACTTAGCAAACCAGACTGGTTTCCTAATGAAGGTGATCTTGAATCATCACAGATTTTACTAGAAACCTAAACAACATTATAAGTATCCCACATTTTACATTAGTTAGAGCAAAGTCACTCATGAAATTGTTGAAGAAAAAGTAGCAGAGGAACCAATTTGGTGAATTATGCAAAAGGATGGAGCAAAAGGAGAACTGTTCTCTTTTCCCYCCTGRCCCATGGCTTCCTTTCCTGTATATAAACTTGCAGGATTGCAATGTCTTCCCATTGCTAGCTATATCCAGCCCAATCCATGGGATTTGCTTGTTGAGGAGAAAACATAATGTTCAATTTATTTGGCTGCTGTGGTTTGTTTTTTCTTTCTTCCTTTCTTTTTTTTTTTTTTTTTTTTTTTTTTTTTTTTTTTTTTTTTCCATTTTTTTTTATTGGAAAGTTTCACTTGACTGAGCTAGGAGCTGCTTACCCATGTTGGGCCTTTGTTTTGCTCTCGGCTCCTGGAGAAACTGGAAAAACCTGTTTGCTTGTGTATTCCTACTTTTTTTTTTTTCCTGCTCTTCCTCTCCCATTGGCAGCTGCAGCTCATACACATGTAGACAAGGTGGTGCCTGCCTTTCATGTGCAAGGCTGCCTTACAAAAACCGGAGCTGCTCTCTGCACTTATCCCAGAGCTTTTGTAGCCTCCTGACAGCTCTGGTGGATGCTCCAGGAGCTAAAATTTGTGCTGCACAGAAGGAGTTTAGATCATCRGTTTATTTTTCTGTGAGCAAAGGGAGGGCGTTTGAGCATGGCTGTTATCCAGCCTTCTGAATACTATTCCGTGGGCTCCCCACAGAAGCTTTGCAGAACCTGGTCCTGTTGTGCAATGTAGCTTCTGTGCGCGGAAAGAAGACTGTTTTCCAGCAGCTGCACCGCGTGTACGTAGGGTGTCCTGTCCTTCCACACAGGACAGACACCGAGGCAGCAGACAAGCAAAACGCGGCCACGTTGGGAAGAGCGTTTTGCTTCTGCCTCTCCCCTTTTCCCTGTGTTCGGGCCGCTGCGGGAGCAGGGATGGGCCAGCTGTGCGGGCGATGCCTGCAGGTGCTGCGCGAGGCGGCGGCCGCCRTGCGGAGGGCGGCCGCGGGGCTGCTGCGCGGCCTCAAGGAGGCCCTGGCGCTCGTCCGCGGCTGCTGCTGCCTGCAGCCCAGGCGCAGGCAGCTCTACAAGCCCGTCCTGCAGCCGCACGAGAGGGTGACCGCGCAGGAGTTCCTGCGGCTCATCGAAACAGGTAAGGGCGCCGCGTTTCCTCAAGGCCTTGGCGGAGCCTAAGGAGGGTCTTCGAGCGTGTTGAGAGCAGATTGCTGGTGGGACCCCTCTGATACGGCACGGGGGAACGTGGGGATGTAGGCAAAGAGGGAGCTAGGAAGTGTTTTCTCCTGTGTGCGGGACACAGAACCACCGTACACCACTGTGTTCAAGTACACCACTGTGTTCAAGTGGTGTAATGGTTGGATCTTGGTACCAACGGTCAGTCCCCTTCTGCTGTGCAACCGTTGCTAAAATATAACCCGTGTAAATATGTGTCCTAAAAGCAAGTTCCTTTAGTAATGAAGTTAATTTGGGGAGAGGAAGGATCAGATCTTTTCTTTTTCTCCCAGAGCCAGTCACTGAAGTGACACAGCTGGAAACAGGCTGGGCCTGTGGTGGGTGCCCTCATCTGCAAGCAGCCACATCACCCTGTGCTGCTGGGTGGCTGCTGCACAGCCGCCTTGCTCGGGTTGTGCTAAGGGGCTCCCTGTGCTACATGGGGCAACTTGAAGTCCCTGGAGATCCCACTGGTCTCTCAGGACCTTTTCAGACCCAATATTGCCATTTTTCTATGAATGAGCTGTCCCGTGCTGTCTAGGTGGTCACAAACTGTTAAGCACTGAATGCTGAAGTCCATATCCAGAATAGAACCACATCTTTCATCCTTGTGCAGAGGGAAGATGTTCCAAGGCTGGCTATTTTATTCCAAAGCTGCTGTACTTCTGACTGGGTAAGAGCTCAGCAGTATCCCAGCTCAGTTGACAGAGTAGATGCAAGGAATGGATGGTCTAGAGGAAATGGTGAAGGCCAGTGTGGTCTTTTGCAGCACCCACTGATGCTTTCATAAAGTGTAAGTGCATGTTTTCTGCAGAAATTCCTTCCCCTCTGAGATGGGTTTCTGAGCTGGTCCACCTGATGGCTGCTCCAAAGGATCCGGGGCACACGAGCAGGGAGTCTGCAGGGAATAGCACACGAATGTCAGGATGTGCTCTCAGGAAGGTCCTGACATCCATGATGGCAGATACATGGAGCCCAGGAAGAAGAACCAATGGGAACCATGCAGCTTCCCTCTTCCTTTAGCCCTCTTCTGTGTATTTTATTCCAAAGTGGGACAAGCCAGTCCTCCCGTCTARGCAAATCGCATCTTTGTATTAATCAGGAAGTTAACATGTGGACAGAGTTTGGATGCAAAGAGAGAATTCTTAGTTGATCATTTAACTCAGTCGTCAGCTATGACTGCATCTGTTTGGTGTTATAAATAGATGAAGGTGAGTGGCTTCTTCTTCACAGTTTCATCATCTGAAAATGCAGAGAGATATGAGAGATTCAATGGGCTGATGTGTAAGCAATGGAATTAAATGGAACTAAACCACATGAAGGGATGGTTATTTTTGCTCTAAAAGCTTACACGCTGGCTGGGCTGTCCTTTTGTGCTTATTGCTAATTATTAACCAAAATTGATCTTCATATGAATCAGTCCTGTGAAACTCGCTTACCTCATCCTGAAGGTCGGAGTTAGTTATTCTTGACATGTCAGCAGCCTCCAATGGCCTAAGCAGAGTTTCRTACCACAGCAGCAAAGTTTGCATCCCTCACATGTCCTTTTTCCCACGAGTAAAGCAACAAGTTCTTGTTCATAGAAATGATTGGATCTCTAATGCTCTGCTTTAATCTCTTGTCTCCAAAGTCTCATACCTGTGTGCTCCACCAGCACTACATTACCTTTCCAGCAGTTTCTACTCTTTAAATACTGGAACATTAGTTTGATGTCCCTTTTTTTCCATTTCTGCTGCTCTGCTCCGTGCATTAGCAATGCATACTACCATGGTGTATAGAAGCCATATGTGACTGCTACTGCTGTATTCGTGACGGCTACTGCAGAACATCTGTTTTATGTATAGGGGACGAATCACACTCAAGAACAGGCAGAATCACATTGGGAATTTGAGCCTGAGGCAAGTCCGTTTGCAGTCGCTTTTGCTATTCCCTGAAATACTTCACTTCAGTGCTAAGGGTGGAAAACATAGCAAAAATAAAATGTTACAAATTAAAAACATAAGCTTTGCCTATGGTTCGTAGCTTAGAAAGCCTTTTTCACAAGATATATTTTAATAAAAAACTTTTGTGATTCAAAAGTTTTATGGAGTAAAAGAAGACCTACATTTATACTGGATAGCATTAAAGTGTCTAAGGGTTATAATTTATCTTACTTCCAATCACTAGCTGCATGAATTTCCTAAGAAGCATTGCCAAGGACAGGTTATTCCAGGCTGATTTATTACTACTGCTCCTGAAAACATGAATAGGGATGGATGGGTTCAATGAAGCTGTTGTGGTTGTTGTTTGGCTGCCTATGTAGATGCCTACATTTTTTGTTTCTTTTAGTAAACTTTTTCCTTTCTTTTTTTTTTTTTTTTTTGGTATAATTGCATCTCTATTGTCATTGCACATCTTCAGGTTTTGAAATGTCACCACTCGGAAAGGACCCCCTGGAAGCCTTAAGGACCTTGGCCTTTTCAGAAAACCCAGGGCTACAACAGTCTGCAGCTCTCTACTATTTGCATATGAGTCAGCACAGTAAGTTATCTCAGTGCATTAGGAAATTTTCATATAACTAAAATTAGAAGTTTTTTTTCCAACTGTGAAACTCCCTAAAATATCCAAGTGTTGTTTTTTTTTTCCCCATGTTACATATTCTGCCAAGGAAAGTGGAAATGGTCTCAGYGTGATGTGGGCAGAATCCTTCTGGGTTTTGCTGTGAGGAGATAATCTCTCATAATTATAAAAGATTATAATCTCTCTTGACTATAAAATTATATAAGGATTTAAGTTGTTTGCAGATTTAAAAATAAAAAAAAAAACAACAAGCAAATGAAAGAAGATGTTTAGTAGATTTCACTTACTTCTGTATGGCTCTTTTCTTTGTAATAGGTACAGGGAGCTGCAGAGCTCTCGTAATTATAAAAATACATATATATGTCATTTATGTACTTGTAATACTTCTGGAAAAATTACCATTACCCCTTTGAGAGTCTGTATATATTGAATCTCCTGAAAGCAACACAGTAAAGGGTATGGTTCAAGGGAATGGACAAGGTGCTTTTCAAATGTTTTATCTTATATAGGATTGAGAAGATGATAAAGCCTTATAAATGGTAGTGGGAACTCATGAAGGGAGGTGGTAGGGACTCGTGAAGGAAGCCTTCCTCTGTGTGCCAACTGTTCCATGAGAGCACTTGGCTCCTGAGGTAATTTCTAAGCAGATAGAGGAAGTCAGTCTAGATATGTCAAATAATAAGATTTCAGTGGGGGTCTGAGTCCTAAAAATGATAGAATTATCAGGAAAAAATCAGGGTATGGTTTATTTATTTGTTCTTTTAAAATGCAATTTAAAGAGAATGTTCGGGCGTTTGTCTTGATAACTTTATCCCGTATATCTTTTCCAGCTAAAAACTGAACAGCCACAGTATAAGGACCTGCTATGGGCTAGAATGACTTGTTTGGTAGCTAGGCATATTGCTTCCCTTACCTTAATGTCTTTAAAGTGTTTGATTATTCCAAACATTTGCTGGGAACTTGCCCTGCTAGTAGCACTGGCATTTAAACGAAGGGGAATAGCACTCAGCCTGTGTTTTGGGAGCACCTGAGGCCTAGCAACTCTGAGACAAAAATGCCAGAGACTGCAAGGAACGACGGGCGCCTGAATGTCTCCTCTCTCTGCTGCAGTGAACGTGCCCCTGCCTGTGGAGCACCTGGAGCCCTTCTATGCCCTGCTGCGGTCCACGGACCTGGAGGTGCAACAGATGTCCTCCCTGTCCCTGGTCAACTTCTTGCTGGAAGGAAACAGTGAGTTATGAATGACCCCACTCTGCTCTGCTCAACCAGACCCAGTGTACAGGGAGGGCACATCCACATGCCCGAGTCTACACAGATCAAAATTTCTTTGCTGATACTATATAGGTTGGACTGGTATGAACCTGTTTCTGTCTGCAAACAACATAGATTCAGGAGGATATATTATTATATCATCACAAGATTTATTATGTCATGTGGCACGAGAACTCAGCTCCGTCTGCAAAGGCTGGTCAGTTATTCCCGGGCTGTTGGGGGAATGACCGTGCTGTTCTCCTCCTTGGATAAAAACCCCACCACTTACCCTGTCAATAACAGATACAGCTCTCAGAAACAGACTCTGCCTCTGAGTGCTCGTTTTTCTGTTATTTATTAACTGAAGTTTAACATCCTTAACCAGTTTAAACAAGTAACTTAAATTGTTTGCAGATTGAAAAAAAAAAAAAACAACAACAACAAAATAAAACAAAGTATTTAGTAGATTTCACTCACTTCTGTTGGCCATTATGGCTCTTTTCTTTGTGATAGGTCTAGGTTGCTGCAGATGACAAACATCACCATGAAGTTTAAGTTGACAGACAAGGCCTAAAGGAACTGCACATATTCAGTGGTGTATCTGGGGCATCTTCTGCTGCACTTCCTGGCACCTAGGCCACAGACAGTATTCCATCACACTGTCCCATACCAGCAGAAGAYAGAATCAGTCTTCAGTGAAGTTAGCTTTTTTCTTTCCTCCTTTTCTAAAGGATCCTGCTGCAAATAGTATCATTCCACTCCTTAAAAAAAGTCAAAAATAAGTTTTAGAAGTCTACCTGCAGAAGAGAAGAGGAGTCTGAGTAAACTGCAGACCTCTCAGAAATGCAGTTTCCAAATTGCATCTTATATCTGAAAATAGAATTGCTGGCAGAAATATCTGGGAGCTCCTGAACTAGAGACTCTGAACATCTCTTACATCCTTTCATGAATCTGAAAGTGAATCAGAAAAAAACAAACTAGRGATACATGGGTGATTCCAGGCTATTTCCATGGTAGGTCCATTTTTGCATAATGATAATATAGATGTCCAGCAGCTAAAGAGGACAGTATATTCTTTGCACAAAGGCATTAACAATTTACTTTTTGTTTATCCTTTTTTTTTTTTTGCCCTTGAAATTATGGATAGTTGACAAAGAACTTGTTGTCCAAATGGGTTTGCTTGAGCCAATTCTGGAGCTGCTTGAGTCAGGGGATCCCACTGTCCAGTGTAATTCCTGCGCCTGCACCATGACTTTGGCCGTCTCAGGTGAGTGGGTTGTTCTTTCCCTTTTTCCTTTGAATGAATTAATTCATTACAACTCCTATCTCATATTTCAAGGTGAGCAGTCTATAGATAGTGGATTTAGAGGAGTCAAAAGATTCAACAGCAAATTTCAATATTCCTCCATCATAAATTCAGCTTCTTGAGATTCCAGTTAAGATCATTTTTCACTGCTTCTGGCATTCATTCTCTAATGATTACAACCCCTTTTCTAATTTCTAATCTAAATATATTCATGACTGGCTTATCATAATTAGTGTCTATATTGGCTTTTGCTTCAATAGTTCTTCCTCTCTGTCTGCAGTGATGAGGCTGCTTCATTTTACTATACTGAGAAAGCCAARTTCTTTTAGCTTCCTCTTGTAAGGCGGGTTCCCTATTCAACTTCATGGGCCTTCTGGGTTTAAATTACATGCTACAGAAATGGAAGATGGCAATTTCATCTGCTGCTTTGTGATACCACAGGCCTCAAACATTGTTACAGAACAGAGATGCATGTAAATGATGCAAGAGTTCCATTTCCAATTCATTTCTTCTGAAAGAGAGATGCCCAAAAATGTGCATCTCTCATCAGTATTCCACCTGGAGCCTCACCTAGATCTTTTACTTTCACATTCCAGGGAAATACGTTGTATGACACATCATATGATAACATATGCCTTGCTTGTTTGTTTGTTTTTGTGATTGCATCATGGTGCCCATGTCATACAGCTGATTTCGATGTCTGTGTCTTTAGTCTGGGCGTAGGGAAGCCRCTCCAGATCCAACTCACCTTCATTCTCTCCTAAGGGCAGTGACCTAATGCTCTTGCATAGGGCCTCGGGTGCTGATGCAATTCTAAACTTGGATAAAGTCAAGCTTTCAAGCTAGGTAGGGATGTAAGCAAGGRGGTCTGGCTAGGGGGTAGGCTAGAGTGATGACTGGAACTAGGCGAGTTCTGAGAACCTTTGCCCCAATTTACCTGGGATTTAGATGGACTGGATCCATGTTTTCTTTTTCCTTTCTTTCAGACTGCATTTAGTTTCTGCAGCAGTGGAGAATAAAGCAAGTAGCAAATGTCTAGAAGTTGATTAAATTCTAGCTTGCACACTCTGATGTCTTAAAGTGTCTATTTGAGATAAAAATCATGTTTAGTCATGTCCTTTAGGTAAGTCATTTATGTCCTACAGTGATTTAAAAGTGATAAATATGAAAACACAGACTAATTAGGATAATTCTTTATGTGGCCATAATGTGACTGAAATTCTAAATCCAGGCATGGTCAGGTAGCTCAGCTCTGCTGCAGGAAGTGTCCGAGACTGTCTGCAGGCAGCCTGAAGCTGTTTAGCAGGGTACCTGCAAGTTACCTGCAAACTGGGATGTCTGGTTGTCRGCTGTAATAGGCACCCAAGCACAAAGCCAGCAGACAAGCTCATTCAGAAGAAGGGATTTGAAGGTCAGTTTGTTTTAAGACCAGCATTTGCCCACAGAACTAGGGAACACCTGCACGTTTGGAGTTATTTGTACGCTTTCAGCCTGTGAGTGAAAATAATCAGTCTTGAAATAAGAACTCCCTTCAAAGCAGACAAAAGGTGAACTAAACGTTCACAGCAGGACTTTAGGGAAAGCTAAACTTCTACATCAAGCTAAATAAAGTGCACCCACTGGGCTGAGTTCAGAGCCAGAGATAAAAATGATAGCACACAACTGAAGCTGGATTTGGTTTTGGTGTGTATGCAGGCAGCTGCTATTGCACATTCAGAATTGTGCCAGTTATTTGTTCAAGAACACAAATGGCAGAGAGYGACAAGAGAGAATTTATAAATGCAGGTTTCAAGATGACTTATGTAGACCCAGCTTGAGTAGATGCTATTTATTTTTCCACTTTAGAGGGGCATCTCAATATGTGCCCCCTTCTAAAAGCACTTTGAGGGATATCAGATCAGAGGTTGGCATGGCATCTGTGCAGAGATTGTATTAGATAAAAAAGAGGTTCAAAACAGAAATAAAAACATGTTCTCAGCTGCCATATCCCTTATAGAGACTGTAATACAATTAACACATCTTAGTGAGATAGATACCTCTATACATTCTGCTGCTATAAGTTTATGAAAAAGATACAAGTTTTGAGTCCTAGTATCTGACTGGAAGTAGAATGTAAGTGGAGAGAAGGATGAGGGAAAATATTTTATATAGGTACAAATAGATATATATATATATATATATAAAATTTGTCAAGCCCTTGGAGATGGGCTCTGTTGAAGACAGAGAGCTGAAGCAGTTAGCTAGGGAGCGACCCAAAGGACAAGAAGAAAAGTTGGGTTTTTCTGTTGACAAAGGTTTTCATCATGTGGRTATCTATCTGTCCTGGTCCCTCCACCCTCCCACCACGAGAGTCGGCACTCGGGTCAGTCCCACAGGACYAGGGGTGTCCGGGTGCCTGAGCCCATCCCGATTGCTGCAGGCTCCCAATGCTGAGCAGCAGCACTGAGCCCTCGGGCACAAAAACTYGTTCCAGCTCTTGTGGCAGTCGTTTCAAATCAAGTTCAGCTATGTTTTTCAGTGACGGACAAGCCTTCATGGAGCCCAACACCTCCAGACTCTGTCACTAGCAATGCTTCCTCAGGAACAGCATCAGATCAGAAATATGTCCCTGGGAACCCCTCTCACAAAAGGATACAGGATCCTCTTCCCCTGCCCTAGAAGGAAAGATGGAATAGAAAAAGTACCCACATTTTATCACATTGTTCAAGCATGAGCTTCCCTTCCACATTCAAAATAGTGATGGAAACTATTGTGTGAAAGAATGAAGGAAGCAGTAATATCTGAATTCCTAATCTTTTTCCTTTCTCCCTTGCTCAACTAATTAGAGTTCACATCAGACTAGACTGGTTTCCATCAGATGGAACTGCACCAAAGTGTTTCTGCTGCTGAGGGAAACATAAGAACAATGTACAGGCAGACTGTATTGGAAAAAGGCTTRTCTACAAAATGGATTAGAAAATGTCACCAGAGTATAGTTTCTCCCATGGAAAAGCTATTTTTAAATACACGACTTTGCCCAGAACAATTATTTTGCTCACAAAATGAGACTATTTTTTTTTTCCAAAATAAAGAGTATTTCCTTGAGTATAAAATATTCCCATGAAGGGGATGTTCACAGAAAGGGCTTTTTTTTCTGGAATACTAGATGCATCCTGGCTGAATGGTACCCAAATAGCTATCCTGGCTTGCCTACGCCAGTCACTTTCACAATCTAGATAGACCCCCAATTTCTTGCTCTCAGCAAGCTTTGGGAGTCTGGATGCTGTTTAAACCATCTACGTAAATGAAACAATACTGAAAATTCCAGTGGACCTCAATGTCTGTTTTGCTTAAATTAATAATGACAGATGTAGAATAAATAGGGCTTTTGTTTTATATTTATTTATTTATTTTATGAATACTCAGCAGAATGTGATTTTTCACATTAGTGAAAAAGTGTAGAGAAAGTGTTTTTTCTAAAGAACTTTCAGAAGAAGTCATAAAAGTAGAACATTGTCAACACCTTATTCATTTAAAAAAACTTTCTCTTGCTTACAATGTGGTTATTATTGCCCTAGGGGCATCCTGTAAGTAAAACATACTTTTCTCTTTTAAAAGCCTTTATGGAGCTGATGGTTCCTGGAGCTTTTGAATATGCAAAATATTTGGTTACGCAGAACTGCAAACTCTCTCCAAGACARAGACTATTCTCTTGCTGGCCAATGACTAAGCAAGCCAAAAGGCAGTTTCTCTTCTGATTTTCCTCCTTTTTTTTTTCCCCTTTTCAACTTAATTTGGTTTGCTTTATCTACCTGCAGCCAGCATTTCTAAGTTCACCATTCTATGGCTTAGGCTTCTAGATTAAGGTAATGGCTGGAGTCCAAGCCACGAACCTGGAACCGACCTCGCTAAGTGCTGTATAAAGATTGAACAAAAAGATAGTCCTGACCCAAATCAGCTTATAAATTAACAAAGAGATAAGAGATACAATATATGTGGGAGGACCACAGTCACACGTAGAAGGGAGGCTAGCTCAGCATCATGGCAGCTTTGTGGTTTTTTTCTGCTTATGTTTTGCAAAAGCTTTATTGGCCTCAAGTTAAGGGAGTGGGAAAGATCAGAGAAGGAGGGATTTTCTTTTATACAAGGGTGACTTGAAGCTGCCTTGGCTAAGTCCTTTCTTTTCTAAATTATACTTGTTAAAGTTTTCGGTATTTTATGGCATAGTGTAATATTACTGTATCCAGTATATATACTATATACACAACATATAAGTATATTATATACTATTTTATAATATATAGAGTTCTATAGGAATATTTAAGCAGTATAGTTAAGATTCTTTTTGAGGTTTTCACCCTAATGTCTCAAAGGATTCTGAGGGCTTTCTTTTTTTTTTTAATTCTGCTTGTATACCATCTTAATTTTAATTTTTTTATGATTTTCCTTAGAGCTCAAAGGGAAATTTTGATCTGTAAAAAAAAAAAAAAAAAAAAAAAAAAAAAAAAACAGAAAAGTAAACTCCAAGGAAATCCAGTTTTCTATGAACTGCTCCTGTTTTACGCGAAGTGGATACAGCATGGCAATGTCTCATTTCTTTTTTACCCTTATATTTTCCCCAGAGTCCAACCGGGAGGCTATCGGTGCCGCTCAGGGAGTTACACCCCTGCTGGCTCTTGCCAATTCCTACGACCCCAGAGTCCAACAAAACGCAGTTGGTGCCATTCTCAACCTCACACAATCAGGTACTTTCTGATTAACGGCTCATCTGAAATTGCTGAAAGAAAAAATCTTGCAGATAGAGAGAAAAATAAATACTTTGAAAACACTGAGGCAAGACTAAAGGCATATCTGAGCAGTAAGTGCTTTCTTTTGCATATGGCATTTATGATGATCCCATGGGCTGATGGTTTTAGTTTGCTTCTCTATAGCTARCACAGGCCCATTTTATCCCTTTCCCAAGATAGAAAGGCTTGATTTTCAACCTCATGGAGCTTATGTGCAAGCAATTAAGTAATCAGTCAAAGAGAAAGAAAAAAAATGTTAGAAAATAACTTGGTATAAAAAGCTAGCAGCACATCTGGAGGTACTTTGAAGCAACCTCAAAATTTATCTAACAACATTCAACTCTTTGAATGTTTGTCTTGTATCTATAACTGGATGTTGCAAGATGCCAATGACAGTAATTACTATGTGTCTGATGTTGTTTCCATAAAAGACTCCTGGAATTTTTGTTATCAGCTTCAGCAAGAGCAATATTTGGTCCTCTGCAATAGTATTTCCACACCTTGCCTCTGAAACAGGCCAACATCAAATCCCACCCATCTAGATGATACTGTTATCCCACCAATCTAGATGATATAGCTGTGAGTCTATTATCTCTAGTCTGTGATGTCTATTATCTCTAAATGCAAAGGAGAATGGATGGCAGGGATGGCAGGTACTTTGATTTATTGCACTTCTGCCATTGTCCAAATTTTTATATATATATATATATAAAAAAGTATATATTTACACAGAGACCATTGTGAATGTCATAAGTGAAGTTTTTCAGCTTCTCCAGCAATTTAGATTCTCTGAACAATCTTTAGCAGGAAAGTGGCAAGGACTAATCAGACATCTTGCCAGTCATTCTGCTAAAATGACTGCATACGAGCCGTTTGCAGAGACTCTAGATTATACACTCTGTAGTCACACTTACGGGAATATATYTGGATGAACCCTAATGGCTGTGGTGTATTTTTGAGTGGTTCCTTCAGATGAGAGGAAGGGAAGAGGCAGGACTCGCTMACAGAGCTTTCTTTCAAATGGCAGAGAAGATCCAGCGGGTCCTATGCAAGGAAGGAGCCCTCCCAATCCTCACGTTGCTGCTGGAGTCTCCTGACTCAGAAGTGCAGGTATGGTTCAACCAGGTCAGTTTTCCTAAGTAACAGCGATGTGACTGTGGCAAGAGCACAAACCACGGAATTTAGAAAGGAAAGGGGAGGGAGGAGGAAAGGTTTCCGAGGAGAAGCAGGGAGGGAATTAAAGAACTTTTCTTTTTCTTGTCTTTTTTTTTCCTTTCTTTCTTTTTTTTTTTTTTTTTTTTTGCTAGGGGAAGCCAGTGTGTGACAATGTCTCGGTGAAGCTCTGCTCAGTCAGAATCTCAGTTCCTTTAGCTCCATGGATAAAGCTTGTAGTAGAAAAGTGTATCTGCCAGCACATGCTTGTGCTTGTGCACATGCACACAGTGGTTATGCAGTTGCCTTTTTATATCCTTCAGATCCTCAGGCCAGTTGCAGATAAGCCTGTTCCTCTGTACTTTTGCAGCCTGAATTTCACCTTCCCCTCTGAAGTGCTTTTTGAAGGTGCAGTTTGCAAAGATTCTTTTTGCTTATTGGAAATGTCTAGGAAATCTCCCTATTTCATATCTGCCACAGTCAGTATATAGAACTCTTTGTGTTTCAGCACACGTAACAGACAACTTGTTCTTAGTTTAAATGTGAAAAATTGATGGAAAAAAAACCTATGAATCACAGATGTAAACCTTAAAATCTGCTTGCTCATTGAATCACTCTTCTGGGTAGCACAGGATCATTTCCTCTATTGTTCTATTTATCTTTTGTTTTATCTATATTTATGAGTTCTACTTCAAGTGTCTTGAAGTGATGGAGCCTCTTGAACGGCTTTCTGCMAACTTTCAGCATCATCAGCTTTCCTTGATACTCCTCCTAAAATGTTCTTCTTGGCGGTTCAACCTGTTTCTTCTAATTATAACCTCTCCAATAACACATACTGTCATATACATACATATAYGTATACACAGACCTCGCTGGCGTTGATGTTTAAGTCCTTTGAAGATGCTGGCCGGYGTGCCGGGAGAGTGAGGACACCCGAGTTACTTTCAGCAGAGCAGAGGGGCCAGCCCGTGCGCAGAGGCTCCTGCGGGTGCCGGGGCTGCGAGGGGAGCAGCCAGAGCGGCCCCACATGCTGCGGCCCTGTGGGCCTGCGCCGGCCGCGCCGCCGCCGCACAGCCGGGGCAGGTCGCTTCTCCTGCAGGAAGAAGTACTAGTAGTGGAGCAGGAGTGTTGCCAGCAGGTCAAGGGAGGGGATCCTGCCCCTCTGCTCAGCTCTGGTGAGGCCGCACCTGGAGTATCGGGAGCAGTTTTGGGCTCCCCAGTATAAGAGGGATGTGGAGCTTCTAGAGAGGGTCCAGCAGAGAGCAACTAAGATGATTAATGGACTGGAACATCTCTCATATGAAGAGAGACTGAGTGAGCTGGGCCTGTTTAGCCTGGAGAAGAGAAGGTTGAGAGGGGATACGATTAACACGTATAAGTTCATGAAGGGGGAATGTAGAGAGGAAGGGGCCAAGCTCTTGTCATTGGGGGCCAGTGACAGGACAAGGGGYAATGGGTGCAAGCTGCAACACAGGCAGTTCCATCTCCACGTGAGGAGGAACTTCTTCACTGTGAGGGTGCCAGAGCCCTGGCACAGGCTGCCCAGGAAGGTTGTGGAGTCTTCTTCTCTGGAGGTCTCCAAACCCGCCTGGATTCCGCCCTGTGCCCCGTGCTCTGGGTGTCCCTGCTGGAGCAGGGGGTTAGACTCGATGATCTCTAGAGGTCCCTTCCAACCTCAACCATCCTGTGATAATTCTGTGAAGCCGCTCTGGCTGTTATCACACCTAGCTAACAAACCCGCCCCGAGGCTGGCAAAGCACTTGGTTTTCAGCAGGTCTGAACCTAAGCATTTCTCTGGTTTGTTTTTGATTCTCTTCAGCGTGTCACCACTGCATCTCTCTCTCTCTCTCTCTCTCTCTCCCCCCACTTTTTTGCTGGTGTGCCCCAGTATTACAGCTGCACTGCCCTGAGCAACGTGGCCGCCAACGCAGAGCACCACGCGGCACTGCTGAGGACGGGAGACGGGTTCCTGCTGCGGGCGCTCGTCTCCCTCCTGTCTTCCTCTGTGGACAAGGTAAAGCAGAGAGGGGAGGGGATGGAGCCAGTTTGCTGGTACCYGCACACACGTACCCGCTCCGGCCTTTCCGTTCGGATCAGGAGGGCGCTTGTGGRGCAGCCCTTCCCATCAGTGCCACTTGCTGGGCTTTGCACCACATCCTAAGGCAGCCCTGAGGCATCCAGCCCAGCTGGTCTGGAGTAGATGGCCACAAAACCCCCGCTGGTGTGGGCTTCAGCTCCTCACTTCCAGCACCTCTTCCCTTCTGCACATCTGATCCCATTGTGCTGCACTGCTGTCTAGCATAGGCATAGCCAATTCTCATCACTCTCCTGATGTTTCTTTTGTTGTGAGTGCTGATGTGCCCCCAAACCACAGTTCTGTTTGGCTCTGCCCAGGCTCCTGCAATCATTGATTCCTGCAAGGGTTTGGAGCACCTTTTATGCTACTGTTTTTTGTTTGTTCGTTTCTTTTGGTGCGCAAAGCACAACCATGGCTTCCAAGAATAACCTCTAGAAAATATGTGTTTTGAGGGGAATCCATGCATTGAGGAAACTCACTGAGGGGGATGATTGATACCAAAGCAGGGTATCATTAATGGATCTAAAAAAGAGATTCACTTGACAAAAAAAAAGAAAAAGGTCCCCAAATTCTTGCTCTGAAGATACGGTGATAGCTTGCTGCTGTTGTTAAGTACAGTGATTTTAAGTACAGTAGCCAAGGACACACATTGCTGAATCCACCTTTTCTCTCTCTTTTTTTTCTCTTTGGCCCAAACAGGTTTCGAGCCAGGCATGTGTGTGCTTAAGAAATTTAGCCACCAGTGGTAAGTTGTGTCTTGGAGATAAACAAACTACACCGCTCTGGAGCTTTCTCTCTCTGCCACTCACAGCGAGCACGTGGGTTGGGAACCTTTGACATTAAGAATAAAGATATATCCTCTTTTCTACATTTTAATGAGATGTCAACAGAAGAGGAAGGTTTAGTGCAGAGCTCCCAGGTAATGAGAGGAAGTACCTGAACAAAGTGACTGAGACAGGGTAGGTCTTATGCACTCAGCCCTTGCAGCTGTACTAAGTCTTATTCCCTTCCATTAAACCTGATTAGGACAGAATATCTCCCAAAATTGCTGTTMATGTGGGAACTTGCCTCCTTGCAAGGCATGAACCTGTCTGTCATTTTCAGAGGCATCTGTCATGCTATTATAAAAAAATCCTATCCTATTAYATGCCCAATTAAGTTTCTACAAGGTACTCTGGAGATGTCAGCAGAGGGAGTGTCACACTCCACGCCACAGCCCTAGGGCCCAGAAAAGACTCGTCCATCTAGAAAATGTAGGCTTCATCACAGTTACAGTGGAGCCAGGGCTTGAGGAACTGCTGGGCTGCTCTTCGCAGAGGTTGAAAAATCCYAGGTCTTTTAGGACTGCTGCTCCATCTGCTGGCTGCTCTGGCACGGTCCCTTGGGCCAGGAATATAAGAACAGGACAAACTGGTCTTTCCTTAGCTAATCCCAACCCTCTGTGCGATACCTGGTGTTTGAGGATGCCTTTCCATGCATGCAGGAGAAACCACYGCCTTCCCACCAGGCTTCAGGCCAAGGAAGCACCCAGCAAGTTTCTTCCCAACAAGGTGCAGGCTTGGAGGGTCCCCAGAGCGCGTTCTGCTCTCCAGACCAYGCTAATCCTTTGGCAGGAGACAGAACAAATGAGGCTTCATCTGCCCCATTCCTCAGAGCTCACAGGTCTCTCCCAATGACGCCATCTAACTCGGTTGCTTTTGCCAAGCAGCGGACACGCAGGCGGAGCTCGTGGCTCACCCCGTGCTGCCCAAGCTGCTCTCCCTGCTGGCGTCGGGCGCGCGGGACGTCCGGCACGCCGCCGTCGCGCTGCTCTGGATCCTGTCCCGGCACCCGCCCAACCAGGTAGGCCTGGGGGCTTCCTGGGAACGGAGGCAATGGGGGGGGTTGGCCACTGCCTGCGTTCCCGTTTCGTTATGGCAAAACTGCAAAGAGCAGCATCGTGAGGGAACGGAATCACAGGGAGCGCGGAGGAGGCTGTCCCCTGCTATGGGCCCTTCCTGCTGAAAAGCAGAGAGAAACTGGTCTGCAGTGGGCAGGTAAAATACGTCACTGCAAAMTCAAATGCAAAAGACATTATTCTCCATTGTGGACAGTTATTTGCAAGGACATTTGCATAAATTTAACCTCGTTTGAACTGTGATTAAGACAGCAAGGAGGGTGAATATAATTTATGTCTCTCTTTTACTTACTGCACTTGAGCACTCCTGCGTGTCCTGATGCAAGTCCCGAGTTACAGGACGGTCCTTCTGTCCATTGGGGTTCAGGGTAACCACCCCCATTAGCAGTGCAACTCTATGCAAATACATGAAGAAGTCTTACCCAAAATAAGCAACAGCAAATAAACAAGGCAGGCCTCCCTGCTGTACTCTCATCCTTCACATGAAGAACAAAACCAGTAAGTGGTGAGTGAAAAATCAGTTGTTTCTTAAAAAAAAAAAAAAATTAAGTGAGACTCTCTCCTGCCATGTTCCCTTAAGTAGCAGAGAGTCAGAGTGACCACAGCTGGTTTAGGTGCTTTTCATACTTAAAATACACTGGGCTGTTTGGAAATTTCCTCCAGGAATTGAAGGCCCGCTGCCTCATGCCTCAYGAGGTGGATTGTGCCCCCTGTTACTCCAGGATGGGAAGGAAAAAGGGAAAGCTCCTTGCGTGCCCAGCAGCCAGCAGAGGCTTTCCAACAGCCCCGTGGCCTGTGGGCTTGTGCTGCATTAGCACCACGTGTCCCCAGCCCTGGTCAAACTGCCTGGTGGCCTGCAAGCACCCAGCTCAGCCCCAGCGAGACCGCAGCTGAAACACGCTGAGTTCACTGGGGCTATTTGCACAGTAACACAGTGCTCAGTATGAGGCACAGGCCGCACGGTTGTCCTCACTGATGTTTTGCTTTCCTGCCCCAAAACACCACTGATGCTTTTTGTGCTCCCACCGAAGAGCAACCCGCAGCTCCCTGAGCTGGAACGCGGCTTTGCCGGAGCTGCAGAGCCCTGGCCGTGCACAAAGCACAGAGCAGAGCTCAGCCCCAGCCCGGCCTGCAGCTCGGGTGGTTATTCCAGCAGCGAGACGGCCTTCACGGAGGGAAAGGGTCAGCAGGAGGCGGGTGGAAAGCAGAGCACTCCCCGGGGTTTATTTGCCCCAGGGGGTTATTTGCCCCTACAAACCCTGCGTCKCAGGGTTTCTCAGGCGAGCAGGGGCGGCCGTCCCTGGCCAGCCCAGGTTGCTGCAGGGCCAGACGTGCCCTGGGAGCCCCGGGGAGAGGCCGGTCCCCCACTGCCCCCCGAGCCCCCTCGAGCCTCTCACATGGTTCCAGGGGCCCTCTCCAGCCCAGGCTGAATGCCGAGCGAGGCGGAGCGGCGCCTCGCCAAGGGAACAGCCGGAGCGAAACAAACCTCCCGACACAGCGGCCTTTGCAGCCACGTCAAGCGATGCTCCGAGGGCTGCAAATGCCCCCAGACTCCATCTGCCCTTTCGGCAGCGGGAAGCGGGACTCCTGCTCCCTGCCCAAGTGCCTGCCTGCCATCCYCTGCCCCGGCCCCGGCCAGCAGTTCCCAGCAAGAGCTGGACCGCTGCCCTCTTGCCAGGGGAATTCTATTCAGTTCTCCCAAGGACAGTCTCCAACGCCCCAGTGCCAGGGAGAGAGACAGGCTTTGTGCAAAAGGGCATTTCACATCAGCCATTTGAGCAAAGTGCTGGGAACTGGAGCAGCAAAGGTCTCCTCCAAACAACTCCACTGACTTCCCACTCCAGGTACAAAATAGCTTTGACTTTGCATCCTGCTACCTGGGAGACAGTGGATGGTATTTATTTTGGCAAGCACCACTTAGCCAGGGGTTTGAAAGCTCAGTAGTGCTGTTTGGAGCAGGATTGCTGTTGGAATGCCTCCCCTCGCAGCCTTTCCCAGCCCTGGGAGAAGCCGAATCGATCCTCCTTTAACCAGGCAAACGGTCTCACTTGGAGAGCTCTCTCCTGGCTCTCCCTCACTGCGCGGGACAGAGCCCCGCACAAACGGGACCGAAACAAAATCTGGGGCCCGGCCACATGCCAGCCACAAAAAGAGGCTCTGAAGAATTTAGAGCGCTGTCACTTGCTAACGTTGGTCCTATATAAATTGAAGAGCTTGTCAGGAAAGTCATTTTSTATTGGAAAGTTCATTTGTAGTCTGTAGACAATTCCCTTCTCTCAGGCTGGAGCAAATCAAGTAAGAACAGCGCGGTCGATGGGGTTGCACGGAAAAGAGGACCCTCGGTCTGAAAGCATGCAGAGCACTCATTGCTGGTAATTAKGATTGCATCATCTGAATTCATAGAGCCAGAAATAAAGCTAGCGAAAATCTGCAAATATATTACGGGATTCCTGAAATGCCCTGACTTGAGCTCTAGTCCTGTGCTCTGTGCCTGTTGTTTTTGTGTTTTCCTTTGGCATTGCTGGTTGTGACAGTGCTTCAAGTGAACATAACTGAAGATGGCAGCTGGAATTCCAGGAAAGCAAAATACTCTTTAGCAATTTAACTCCAGCACAAGACCCAAGTTAGACTAATTCTTAAAGACTTTTGCCTTGGGTGCCACACCAGTGTTCCTGACATTCCCCACACTTCAGAGATATGCCATTTTCTCAACCCCCATATAGAACTGGTGACTTATTTTGTGCTGAACACTTTTGTAAATGTTCCTTAGTTTCTAGTGAGACCAATAAAATAGTTCTGAGAACTGAAAAAAAGAAGGAATTGCAAAAAGAATTGTCAAATTCCTAGGGAAAATGGATGAAAAGAAGAAATTCTCCCGATGTGAGAGGCAATCTTTTGTTGCTCCTAACTACAGACTTATTCCCAAGCCTGCTGAGATCAGGTTTCTCATGTCCCCTCTGAATCTATACTGTTACTGAGGAAACTACCTGGCTCATAATCCCAGCTTGATAAGATCTTGGTAAGATCTGATCCACTTGATGCTAATGGGAGTTAGAGCAGATGACATTCAGGAGGAAAGGTGTTCACTAATGCCCCTGTCAAATACCCATCAGAAAGCAGAGAAACGTAAGCATAACCTCAGAAGATGGGCTCAGGACACATGGCTATGAAGTCGCCCAGGCACAAACTGATCCAAACCCACAGTGTGTTGCTCTAGGCCAGGCAAACGTCCGAGGTACCTCAGGTACCTTGTACCTGTACGAGGTGCCTTCATGATGTGCTGCTTTTCCCTTCCACCCCTATCCTGACCCTGCCTCCTTCCCATCAAGTGAATGAGCTATTGCAGCTTAAGGCTCCTGCTTTCCATAGTGCCGTCAGTAGGTCATGTTCTGGGAGGCAAGGCCTGGGCCCAGCTGCTTTACTGTTCATTTAAATAAGCCAAGTTTTGGTCCTCTTTGAGCTCTACAGTTTGGTGCAAAGTTGTATTGCCCTGCGTTAATGTTTTCTATCATGGAGGTGAATTAAGAAGCTGGTGGCTTTTCTCAGGATGCTCTGACAAGTGCAGAGMTGCTGCAGAGCCTGGGGATGCTGCTCTCAGAGCACAGAATGGACCCTGTCATCGCTGGCCATGCTGCTTGTATCATCCAAAACCTGAGTGTCTCCAAAAACAGACAGGTAAGTAGCCATTTTTTTTTCACTGGACTATATCCTGGAAGGTTGCTCTTACATTTGTGTCAAAGCAGCATTAACCACAGAAAGAACTGTTTGCATGGGGTATTTTGTTTGTTTGTTTTGAACAATATGCTAAGTACTAATATTCTGCAGAAAACTGTATGACCTGATGTGTCATAGACTTTTTTCTTTTTTTTTWAAATACATTATGAAAATGAAAAGAAGAATTATTTTRCTAATCTAATTTTATTCCCAATTTGTYATATATATGCCCAATTACTAGTGCATATTTTGCCTCTTTGGCAAGACACTGCTTGTGGCAAGATGTGATAAACATATCTATTGCTGACTTTGCTTCCAATGAATTCCTAACCTACAGGTGCATTTCCTTTCTCCTTGTATTTTAAGGATACTTCTCTTAGTCTTCCTCCTGCTTTTAGGAGGGAACACATTTCTTTCACCTTGATCAAATAGTGCCACGAGTGAAGTCCCTGATATTGGAGGGAAAAAAATCCTCATCTCTGCATTGTCCTTTGCTTCACATTTGCTTCTAGGATATAGTTTGGGGGACCYGCTTTCTTTCTCTTTTTCTTCTTTTTTCTTCTGTATGTCTGTCCATGAAGAAATTTCTACTAGTCTCAGAGACTACTTTTCTGAAGTGTCAAATGTCAGAAACTTTTTCAACCTTTTCAACCTCAGTGACTTACCCAATTTCACATATGGAAACCTATTTGTCCTTCCATTTTTGCATTGTTGATACTCATTTCTGCAGCTCCTCTAGTTTTATCTGGACCAGGCTAAGCAATAAACTGCAGGACAAAATAAAGTTGTGTTTTGTGGCAGACAAGGACTAGGCTTGTATTACCCTTTCCTTTCTGCCGGGGGTAAGAAAGCACCCACTGCAAATGAAAGACATTTAAACTATCCAAAAGAAAACCTTTGCTCTGGGTCTGTGAACCTCAGTGATAATGAATAATGGAGGATACCTCTCAAATTGGAATTAGAAATGTGAAATTTAAATCGTAAGGTTTTTACATTCTTACTGATGAAGATAAGAATTGCGAGAGTTCTTGGTAGTGGTGAAATCAGTTGTTGCAAGGGAGTGCATTCCCTTGAACTCCAGSACTGCAGGAAGAGTCAAAAAATGTTCTTGGCTTTTCAAAAGATTGACATATTTATTACTCACATTTTATGCCTTTCTTCTGTTATTAGCAGAGAGCTGCTTCTGCTTCATAGAAGCTTCATAATRTGCCTTATAATGTATTTAGCTTTCACTGCACAAGTAAATCCAGTGCCAGATTTTCAGGAACTGACCCCAAAACATGTTGGAGTCCTTGTCACAGGAAGAAAACATTATTTGTTTTCATGCCAGCAGGACACAGACAGACTGTGGCAGCTTGAAAGGCAGGAGCCTTGAATCTGGGCTCAGCCTTTAAGCAGGAAGTTAAAATCTGCAACGTGAAATAAATGCAAAACAAATCCCTTTTTCTTATTATAGCAACCTGGGCCCCCTTATGGAGCTGTAACCTCCTAGCGAGCTGACAGCTCCSAAAATCCAGCTTCCCTTGTGAACTGTCACTTGCTTTTGTAACAGAATTTGTTCCTGGATCTCAGGTGCTCCTAATCCAGGACAGCACAGGCTAAGTCTCCTTGCGATGTAGTGCCCAACTGTGCACTCCTGTGCAGAGACATGCTGTCCGACACCATCTTAGATGCAGCACATTCAAACTGAAGTATGAGGGACCCACAGAAATGTTTAATTTATACCAATTGTCTCCAGCGACAGGAGTCACCTTTGCTAGTGAAAGATCATCCCATATTCCTGCAGATCACAGCATTTCAGTGTCAGAAAGTTTTCAAAGCCCTACAGGCAAACATTAGATGCCCAAACCAATGAACTTCCACACTTCCTAACCCTTTGTCCTGAAAGGTTATTCATGTCAGCAAATAGCATAACAAACCCCATCCTAACATGCAACCTGACGTGGCTGTTGTAAGTTGTAAGTTAGAAAATTCTTTGAGCTCTAAAAGTGATCTGGGATCATGAGCAAAGCCTACAGATTGGGCGAGCCCGGGGAAGTGCCGGACAGCAGGCAGTCTCCTCATAATCYGAGGTGTTGGACATCTGCCTGCACAGGGCCTGGGAGGGGATATTTTCTTCAGGAATGTCTTAGTCCTCAGCATTGCCGAAGCCCTTGGACGCCACCAACACTGGGAAGCTCTGTCTGTTGTTGCAGAGAATCGTCGAGAGCCCCTGTGTTGAAGGTCTCTTCCAGACCATGCTTGCTACGGACATTGGAGAAGATTCTCTCCACTATGTGATGGCTTGCCTTGCTGAGCTGGCGAAGCAAGGTAGGGAAGCAGCCTCGCTGTAAATGGATTCATCTGCAAAGTGCACACATCTTTTATTAACCGTGATGGCATGGGTGGAGATGGACATCCCAGGTCTTTCCTTTTAAACTCTTGGGAGTTTTGCAATAAGCTTCAATGACAGCAAGATCCAGCCCACTGGCAAGAGATATAGGCTCCACTGGTTCATTTTTTCCCACCAAACTCCTTGAGGCTTTTTGCTCAAAATTCTTTGTTCTGCTCCTTACAGCTGTGCATGGGCTGTCTACTTTTATTTGCAACATCACTCAGCTTCTACTGCAGAATTCATTTCACAGTGACAGGAAATAATTTAGGAAGAAGAAAAGGCTAAAATACAGTGTGGCCTTTTCGCCTTAAATTTATCATTTTACTTTTTTTTTTTTTTTAAGAGACTAAGAGACTCCACATTACCGGCCATGGAAGGCACAGGTCTCCTCAGTGTTAGTTTTCCCCTGTTCCCGTGGAGTTGGATGTTGTCTGCCAAATGCTTCCTCTCTCTAGTTGCCACTGCAACTGGTAACACTGCGTTTAATTTTGGGAGAGGTGGAGCCCCCTGTGCCAGGGCAGCTCTTGTGCATAAGGAGATTCACATTCTCAGAAGACACAACCCAGGGGATAAAAATCCACCGACCTTTCCGTACATCAAATCCATGCTTGTTGAGAGCATTGCTTGTTGAGAGCAAAGCCCCAAGACACGACCYGTTTTTACAACCCCAGATGCTCACTGCAGAAGTTCAGCACCTGTTTTGCACCTCCAGCTGAGCAGAGSGTTTCCTGTCGAGGCAGCCCAGGTTCTGGAGCTGGTTTAAGGTACTGTGCTTGTATCTTGCAGAAGGAGCGGCGGGACACATGGTGCCGTGCCTGGACGAGCCCTTGGTGAAGTGCTTGGTGGGGCTGGCCGGCCAGCTGGAGCATACGGAGCCATCCTTTCAAGCTGCCTCCATCATCCTGCACCTGACAGGTCACGGTAACTGTCACACAGCATTAGCTTTGCTTCCAAAGACACCTGCGGCTGGCTGAACTGGAGTGAGCCTCCTTCCAAAGGAGTTAACTGTCAGGCACCAAGAACATTTCAGATTTTTAAAACCTGGCCCATGTGCTTTCTAAYAATTTAATAACAAAGCCTCATGACTGCCTTTGCAATGCATAAGCAGGCAGTATTTCAGTGGGTGAGAAGCCAAGAGACAAGAACAAACCATGTGATATGAAGGTCTGATTCAGATCAGACCTTGTTGTTGACCTTAATTGTTGCTCTATGCAAGCACTATCCATTCTGCAGTGCCATTCTGTAGCAGATTTGAGGTCCTTAAAAACAGGTTAAGTAAAAGGGTGGAATAATGCAAAATATTCCATATCTTTCTTGTTATGAAGGAAAAGATGGGACTGTTTCAGACAAGAGGCACAGTTATGTCAGTCTGCTTGACCCCCCTCACCAAATTTACCTGGAAATACAAAGGGATGGCATTGTGCCCCACACATGGCAGCACAAGTTGAGCATCCTAAAGACAATTACAAAGGGATGTTTGTGTCCCAAAATCTTAGATTCATTCCACTCCCTGACCAGCAAGGGGAAAGCTTTCGGTGAGGGACAATGAAAAAAGTGCAAGGCAACAAATAGTTACATTTTAATCCTTGAAAGTGAGAGAAATGGAAGCCTGGAGCGAGGGGTGTCAATAGGGAAGACAAACCAGTCGGACCCTGCCCTCAAGCACGTGCTGCAGAAGGGACTCGGAGCGGGAGAAGAGGGTCCCGCAGCGGCACAGCCGGGTTAGCAGGGAGGGCTGCTCCGTCCCGAGCAGGGAGGGCTGGATCAGCTTCCCGGCACAGCAGCCTGCTCAGCGGCAGCTCCGCGTGGTCCTGACTGCAGGCCCCCAGCGCGGCGGAAGCTTGGGGCTCGGCTTGGTCCGTCAGTGCCCTTGGCAGTGAGCCTGGCTGTGGCGGCAGGGAGCCGAGCCGTGGGTGATCCCAGGGGTCGGCACAAAGCTCAGCCTCCGCAGGGTTTGCCAGGTTCCTGTGCTCACCAGCGGTCCTCCTGTTTACGCAGCAAAGATGATGCACTTGTTGCGATGCCACGTCCAGGAGACTCAGGCCTACCTGAAGCACTTCCTCGCGCACGCCGAGGTTCGCTTCCAGCAGCTGGGCATCTCCACGCTCTGCAGACTGCAAGGAGGTGCGTGCCGGGCCCCAGGCCCTGCCGGGGCGGCCTCCGGGCCCAGCCACAGGCCGCGGCTCCCGCCGGGGCCAACAGGATCCCGCTGCCCCCGGGGCACCGGCTCGGCCCGCAAGCAACAGCAGCAGCGACTCGAGCGCAGCCCGTGTCTTAGCTGCTCTAAAGAAACTAAAAAGCATTTTAATTATCACGGCAAGCCATTATTCTTTACATCAAATTTTCTCCTTAAGTTTCATCTTCCTCTTTGTATGAGGAGGAACTTCCTTCCTGTGAGGGTGCCAGAGCCCTGGCACAGGCTGCCCAGGGAGGCTGTGGAGTCTCCTCCTCTGGAGATCTTCCAAACCTGCCTGGATGCCGCCCTGTGCCCCGTGCTCTGGGTGTCCCTGCTGGAGCAGAGGGTTGGACTAGGTGATCCCTAGAGGTCCCTTCCAACCTCAACCATTCTGTGATTCTGTGAAAGACTTTCTGATCAGAGGGAAATCAGATCCAGAGACCCAGAAAGCTTTTCAAATCTAAAATTTTAGCTTATTCTGGTACAGCAAGCAAACGAGCAGGTTGTGCTGATAACAGGCATTACTGACAAGCAGGGTTTCCATGGCCCTGCCAGGTCTTAGAAGTAACATAGAACGTACAAAGATGACAGATTAGTAACCTAGTTTGTCACTCATTAAAAATAAATTCCATGTGAGAGAATAAGTAACTGCTTGCCCTCTTCACCATTTTGCTGATTAATACTATTATTCAAGGTTGGCAGGCCTAAAAGTCATCAGCAATGCTCCTTGTTCTGTAATGTCCTCTTACACGTAATTTTCTCCAAATTTAGGSGATCTTACATTGAAATTAATATTTTATAGMATATATATTTCCAAGAACATCAGTATTCTTTATGCAAGCAGTTAATCATGCATATTTTATAGATTTTGCCTTAATCTTTCAGTTAAGGCAAAACAAAGCCAGAATATATTACATCTTTGGCATACTTTTAATTCTGTTCCTTAACATTTCCTAGTTTTGACTAGTTCCGTTTTGAGTACATATTGAGTACAGATGACACACTACTATGCGTGTAGTACCCACATATGTACTACAAAATGTACATGTAACATTTATTTTACATACAAAGTAAAAGAGTATCTACATACTCTTGACATACAAAGAGCCYGAGCTACACCTTCCTTTGCATCTGCTACATAGGAACAATACTGAAATGGCCAACTGAGCTTTACACCCCTGGATGTAGGGATGAAAATGGGAATAACATGTAGCACCTGCTCTCCTTTGAGTAGTAGAAAAATATTGTTTTATTTATTGTGTATATTTCACACCAGCTCACCTTATATACAAGCAYTCTACGGGTTTGCAGAAAATATAGGAAAAAGGTTTGGACAGTTGCTAGAGGTTCATAAACCTAACACATTTGATTTTTTTTCYTCAGATCCAGAATTTTCTTCGGCATTCAGAGAAAGCCAAATGACCAAACTCCTTGAACAGGTCCGTCAACAAACAGAAGAAACTCAAGAGCTCCTCAGGGCAGCTATTTGTCACACAGAGAGTTAATGTTTAAGCCAAGTGCCTAACAAAACCCAAGCAGGTCCAAGATCCTCAGTCTTCAGAGGTGACAAGTCTTTTCATTGGCTTTCTTAGTTAGAAGTTTTCCTGCTTACTTGCCTTTTCACATAAAAATAAAGAGCATGTGGCATCTCATACTCCAGAAAATAGAGATGTTCTGACAACTGCAGTCAGAGCAGGTCAAAACCACCACTTGGACATGCCAGCTAGATGCTTATTCGTGCTTCGAGACAACGCTGCATTCCTCCCCACTGTTTGGGAGAGGAAAACCAGGGGAAAATAATAATAAAAAAAAAACCCTGTCATGCCTGGATACCCTTCCTTCTCCCCCTCTCCCCGCTTTCCTTTTGATAACCGGGAAGCGCTGCAGTCACGAGCGGGTGTTTGTGTGAACGCCTGTGCCCACGGGGGCAGCACCCGCCTGGGAAGCAGGGCGTTCTGCTTCCTCTTCTGCCCCTCCTTGCCCCTGCTTTCCTTCCATGCCCTTTATTCCACAGCACCCCCATTCCTCTGCGTGTCCCAGGGACATTACTTTGGAAGAAAGCTGTTTCCAAAAGGATTGCTGGGCAGGAGGAGGCCATAAATTTGGGTGGAGTTCAACTAACTTAGGAACTGTCCTTAAATATTTTGATACTTCATTTTAAAAGAAGTTTAAACAACCCCAAAAAACAGTATGTTTAGTTCCAAATTGGAGCAATTGTCTTACATGTATCCGGGGTACTGAGCAATTTGTCCCTTTCCTCTTACCCACAGAAGAAAATCCACTCCTAGACCTTCTGGCCAAACAAACAGTATTTAAAAAAAAAAAAAAAAGTATCAGAGAGCATTTAAATAAAAACATATTTTTAATATTATGTAAAATTTAGTTTAAAAGGAAATTGTAGTCTAATTCTACCTTTGGTCAATCCACTTGTTCGGAGAAGGAAGAGTCTGGCTGGATCTTCCTGTTGACCTGGCCAGGATACTTAGTGCTTTGCAGAGCTCTCGGCAGGCACCTGCTCACAGCACAGCTTCTTAGGGAATAAAAGTGCAGAAGTTTCCAGTCTTTTRCAGTGCTTCTCAATGTGGTACAACTCACACAAACAATGTGTGAGTTACATTTTACTGTAGCCTAATTCAAGGTTTTGGCTTCCAGTGTTCAGGCCTTTTTGTTCTTTAATGCTTTCTTTTAATACCCGAAAGTTCTCTCCAAGTATAAATAGTTTATAAAAGCACTTCAAAGCCTCTCTACAGCACGCTAAAGAGACTTTCTAAAGAACAACAGGGAAGAGACTTAAGCAACACAGAATTGTCAATATTCACGTGCGCACCAGAATTTTCTTCTGAAGTGTCCCACGAAAGACCYGTGTCCTCAATCATGGGCAGTTGGGCTGAGTGAAACACGGCGCTCCAGAGAGCGGAATGACACTGCTAGGAACAAAACCACAGGCAGTATTTTATGACCAGCGGGATCAGTAATGACGTTAGAGCCTCTCTGGTATCTCTTTGTTACACACGCTCAATTCCAACCGTTACAATCAAGGTCTTGGCAAGAAGGAAGATAATGAAGCATTTTTCACCAGGAATGACGTGGCAAATGAGAAACAAATGTAAAATAAGGACAGCTAATGGGGAATGACCCGTGACTTGTCACGGGCTGAATTAAGTTCATTGATCATCACCCACATAAGCATTTATCTGTGGTGCTGTTAGGATGTCAGCAAGGTGAGGAGTCCTTCCAGAGCAGCCGGTCTAGCTGGCTGGGAAAGGTTGTTATCCCATCCCCACTCGGAAAGCTCGGACCAACTTCTGCAACTGCTACTTTAACCKCACTCCGTGTTGCCTCTGATAGGGCAGATAGTTTGTAACAACAAACAAACAAGATGCCTCTTCATTTGATATTATATTTTCTTATAAAAAATTAATATTCAAGAGACTGCTTTTTTCTGTACTTAAAGGATTTAAATTTAAATCTATTTTCATGTTTTAGTTTTTTGATTCATACTCCTAATTCTGAACCCATTCACTAGCCTTTGGCTTGTTTGCCAAGCCCTCAACAGAGAGAAAATTTTCGATCTTTCACTTGAAAAAATCTTGAAATAAATACAAATTGTCCTTAGTGAAGCCCAGTTCAGAAACACACATGGAAAATGAAGGCAGGCTCTTAATCTCTGTGCTGCAAATGGTGAAACACATGTTGAGATCCTGCCAACAAAACAGTTGGCAAGAAGAGGCTTCAAAACTTCATTTAAACTTGAGCCTAAATTTAATCCTCAGGCTTAAAATTGAATGTAAATCTTTCTGGACACGTCCTGATTCTGTCTGTAGTGTCTCTGTACTGATTTTCAAGTAAAGAGATGAGAGGAAACCTAAAGAAAGGTTTTAAGCAAACCAGTGTAACGAGAAGAATTTTCCATGGTATGTTGACTCCTGCTTCAGCTAAACAACAAGAAAAATCAAAATATAARTAAATATTTCAAACAAGTTTTATTTGGTACTTACATGCTATATAGTCTTAAAGAAAAACTACATTATTTTGGACATTTTAAAATACTGTGGCTATGTACATAGAGAACTAGAGAAAGTGAGAGAGGGACCCCAGTAACCTTCACCGTGTCGCAGACCGCTACTGAAGCACTCGGACCGAATGGCTTTTTTCCTTTCTATGTATCCTGGCAGATGAAATATCTTCTCMTTGCATTTCTAGTGGTTTTATCCTGTCTCCTGTACAAGACGGGCACTTTGCAGCCGCAGAAAGTCATCTCGTCTACAGTTCTTCTTCAGCTCTTTGAAGGATTCCTCTCCTCTCACAGACGTGGACTTTCTGTCCCGGGCCTCACTCCGAGCTCACAGGAAAGCACAGGAATTGAACGGGTGCTTCCTCAGCTGGCAGGAACCACGTCAGCCCTGGTTCCCACTCACCGAGGATCTAGCAATGCATCGCGCCCTGGTTGGTTTTATTTCAAAAATAAATATCTGGTGAGATCTACCTGTTACAGCACTCTTTATCAAAGCACAAAAAGATGCAAGATTTTACAGTTAGGCTCAAAAGCAACAAAAGTGACATGGATGGAATAATGATAGTAGAAATCAGCATCTTCAAATGCACGAAAAAACAAGGGGCATTGCTCCTCTCAGCACTCAAACTGCACTGCATCACAGGAACCACACACTGCACAGAGAGCACAAGCATCCACCATTTTCCACGTGCTCTGAAACGAGCAAAACCAGCCTACATCCCAAACAAACCTGCTCTCTCATCCAAAAACCAAATGTTTCAGGTTTCACACGGTCTTCACAGTCTGGTAAGGCAAAGGAGAAGCCCCCTCTCATTGGGAACAGCAGCAATTTACAGGACTCACAACAACAGGATGTTTCCCTGGGTCTACGTGCACATAGATGCACAGGTGTACATGTCTTTTATAGCATCGTGAACATCAACKTAACCAAAAAAAATCAAGTTTGCAGTATGATTTTACCACATTTTTCTAATTTATTCAATTAAATGATTTTTGTACTGAGCAAAATTCATAAATACATCATCTAGGAGAACAATAGGTTTTCCTCCTGTCCATGAAAAAATAACGCTTTCAAATTTTCACATTTTAAAACCTGCCTCGTTTTGTGTTTTTAGAGAAAATGCAAGATCATAGTGACGTCTCAATTTACAGAATGTCCCTGTAGGAATTACATTTATAACAGAACCTGATACAGAAGCCTATATTTCGCCCCCATAATTAGAGCTCTCTGCAATAATATTTAAACCAACAGGTTTAAATAAAACACCCCATTAACTCTACTTGTAGAGCAATGAGGTATTTCTTTTTCAAGTATTAGAGCCATAAAGTGAAAAAGATTCTTCGCCAATTTTACAATTATGCCTTTTAAACCAACACCTCTTTAAAAAAAATAATCAGTCCCACCACCCCAATCACCATTGCTTTCAGATTCCAGTGTCTTGTGTCTTAAGGAATGCAGAAAATATCCATTTACTAACAGAAAAAGCTTGTTGGAAAAAGCCATTTTAAGTAATGCATGTGAAGCATGATTTTTTTTCTAGTGATGAAAACTATTATAAAGGTGACCCAAGTCTATTCCCATCATTTCTTCTGCTGGTTTTACTAAAGTCCTTTCCAAAAAAGATATCCAAGAAATCTTTAAAAAACTGGAGAGCGAAAATAAAACACTCCTTCATAGCATGGAAGAATCTCCACYGACTGCAGAGATGCTCTTATCACCTTTGGTTCTTCAGAAGAAACAATCAGACCACTTCTGCAACAGGAGGCACCAGGAAGGACAGGTCAGTAAACAGCACCAACACTTCAGATTGCTATAGAGAAATGTGCAGGCATTTCATTGTAAGGCATTTTTCCTTACAGTTACTATCCACAGGAAAAGGAATAAAAACTGGTAGCCATGTCCAACTTAATCTACTAGATTAATGTGTGCCTACCTCCCATCCTTTTAAAGTTATCCTCTRCTTCAGAAAACTCTACTGTGCTGCAGTCAATGGCAGCGAGAACTTCACGAGGGAAGCGCACTCCGAATCCTACGTGCAAGGCTACCACTGGGCTACCCCTGTCCACGCTGTTTCATGGATTTCAGCTTTCAAAGAACTAGGCTACGATTGCTGATCACMGGCTTGTATAGGGACAACCTTGTTTTTTCTGCTCCTGCTTGGAAGCACAAGGCAAATGTTTTGAGCATCCCCTGCTCAAACAAGAGATGAGCGCTCCCGATTCATGCAGCACCCACACTTGGCAGGCAAAGCTTTGCCAAGAGAATAAAGATGTGCTCCTTTCCCCAAGGAATTTACAGCACAAAACCCTTAAATTAATCCATTTAAATCAATTAGGAGCTCTAGGTCCTCTGTCACTTACAATAAGTTGCACATTTCAATGGACCAAGGCAAACTTACCTGCTGTTTGATGTGTTTGAACACTATCTACCTGAGGCAACAGAGTCCCCTTATCTTCAAAGGCTAAAATTGGATTCAAAGSAATTTCAGGACTATTGCTTCCATCATTGTTCATGGCATCCAGGCGGGATGGTTTAGATCCAACTGGTAGGTTTATGATCTCTTCAAAGTTGTCATTCTGCATAGACATTCCGTTCTCATTTGTATTTTTCTCTGGATTGAGGTTGCTGAAAGAGAAAACATGCCCATTTCTTCCTACACCCCATATCAAGAGCRGAAATTCGGTCCTCCAAATAATCTTACAAATGGAAGAAAACCCTGATTCAACCTATAGCATTTYTCCAGTGAGTAAAAAACAAAACAGAAGCAAAACCTCCGCTCCTGTCACAGCTGACACCGCAGCGAGGTGTGGGGTTACAGCCGGCCACGCTACCGCAGACCTGGCGCGAGCTTCAAGGACGCTGCAGTTGTGAGCAGTGACTGAAATGGAAGGAGAGCAGCAAGAACCCTCCCCCAGGGCAACCCCCGCTGCCTTGAGCACCCACCCAGGGCACTTCACAGCCTCCAAGGCCTTGTCTGGCTCTCCATGTTTGCAATATTTGAATGCTAAGGTACCCTTCCTATTAATGCAAAGCCATGTGACTGCTCTTGGATAAAAACCCTTGTCGTTTTTTGACATTCCCTACAGYCTCCGACCACCTCCTGCCTCCTCCTTCCAAGCGGCCTCTTCTGCCCGCAGCCTCCCCTCTGCCATGCCCGAGCCGAAGGACACACTCGCAGGGCCTCCCTTTTGCCACCYACCTTGGAGACCCCTCCACTGGCACGTCCCCTGCTTGGGGGGGGTCTCCAATCACACAGACCTGTCTGCAAAAATGTGTCATCTCGTTTCAGCATCTTCCTGGCGGCCCCTGTATCAGGTCCTGCTGCCTTTGCACGGGACAAACTCCCTCTCCGCCAGGGAGGGATCCGTGCAGCTCCTGAACACGCAGGCGCTGCAGAGCCTGGCCTCTCCTCAATAGGAAGTGTGGGGCTGYCACTCACCAACAACACGGGACCTTTCGCAGGGGCTTCGCCAGGCCCTCCTGCACTTCAGTCCTGGCAATCTCGGGTACCAGCTCCTATCTGAACCACACCACAACTGCTTGGTGGTTTGGAAACGCCTTAGTCAAAGGCCCACGTGTCATTTCCCTGGAGACAAACAAGGCTATCAATTTCCTCGGGTCATTTCTGAGCAGGTGGCTTGGTTTTACAAGCTCCTTTTCTGCTGACAATAGATTTACTTGTCTTAATAATAATAATAAAAAAAAAAAAAAAAAAAAAAAAGGCAGCAGCTTGTAACTGCCATATGGTTTCCTTTCATTTCCTGGCTTCCTCGGGTGGCTGGCTCTTCACAAATAATTACGGAACTGTTTTTACAGCGCTTCCCATGAGACAGGAAAGAATTACTGCCCCTTTAAAGGTGCAAACCCTTTATCCAGCGCACACAGATGCCCTGCCAGGAGGACACGCTGGTTTTCAAACTCTCCCCCACTTTTTCAAGCCATCCTTTGTTCCTCTTCCGAAAGGCAAACCCCTGCTCTAATCTGGGCACACGGGGCAGATGCGTCTCCAGCCGAAAAGCAGGATCCCCTGCGCCCAGTTAGGACACACACTGACTCCCCCGGCTCCCTGCATGGGAGACGCCTAACGGGTAATTACCAGCCTATCACCCCCTATAAACTTGCATACTATTTGATCTCCACCTACGTCCAGTCTGCCCTTGGGCAGCCCCACGCAGCCCCACGCAGCCCCACACGGCCCCACAGGGCCCTGGGGTCAGGCTGGGGAGGACAGGGCCGGCTCGAGCACGTGCAGCACCCAGCCCCAGGGCCACACAGACACGGACCCACTGACCACAGCGCCCTGCGCCCGCAGGCAGCTGCGAGTGTCTCTGGTTCAGCAGCCAGCTCTGGGGATAAACTGCTCCTCTTACTTATTTTTCAGTGTTGCTGCCACTATTAGACACTGACCTAGATGAGGCTTCATAAACTGAAAAAAAAGGTGACTGCCAGGGGGCTCTGCACACCAAAGCAAAAGGGGCACAGGAAAGGAATCCCTGATTAGGGATTTTCCTTTTTCTATATAGTAAGAAGTAGGTGGCTCCGCAAAACTGCCACATTAAGGCAGGAGGTTCAGAAGCACTAACAGGACTGACCTGCAGGATTCCTTTCCATGGACCATCTTGGAGGCCACAAGCCCAAAAGGAGATTAGACAAGCTCTTAGGAGGCTGGGCCTTTGGTCGAGCGTGCTGCACACGGCTCTTCCTACGGTCTCATTCTCCACCCTTAGCAATGCCCCAATGGCCAGCACAGCGTTGCAGACTCCCCTTCAGGCACGTGGTGCTGCAGGTATATTTTTAAAAGGCAAATCTGACATTCTACACACTCATATAATWGTGCTTGCAAGATACCTGCATATTAAAAAAGCTTGGCTTAATTGTTTAGACTGCACATCCAAACCTCTCAGCTAGGCAAGCAGCTGAAGGGCAAAGCGGCTGCTGCTTAAATCCAGTGTCAGTGCGTTCTGCATTTTGATCCGGACAGACACTGAGATAGATCAGCATTAGCTYAGAAAAGAGCAATTAATACGATTAAAATAACTGGAACATTCAAAAATTCAAGCTAATGAAATTATGCATGATGCAGTTAATTTTTAGCCACAGCTCTGTAGCAGTCAGAAAAAAACCTAAGTGACTTGGAGACAGTAAATAAGAATGAAAAAAAAAAATCTTAGGATCCAGTATGTCTGTCATCACAACCACATACCCAAGGCCTACACAGAAAGACTCACCAACCTGCAGCCCCTGGAAGTCGTGTGTCCAGGTCCCTCCTCACCTGCTACCCTTGATCTGGAAGGCACTGAGAGCAAAGCGGAGCCAGGGCTTGGGGATGCCTTAAATAAAACACTGTTTGCTTTCGGTCAGTGGCGGCACCACGGCCCAAGCGGGTCAGTGCGGAGGGGCTGGCGCGCTGGGCACGGGCAGGCAGCGCTCCCAGCTCCAAGGGCCGGCTCCGGCAGACGGAGCTCCGGGCCCTGCGCGGGCACTGAGGGCAGCGGCGCTGCCTTGCGGGAAGGGCTGGGGCGGGAAGGAGCCGGGCTGGACGCGGGCTCCTGGGAGCCGCTGCCGGGAGCCGGGAGGGCCAGGCCGGAGGGGCTGCCCTGTGACCCCAGACCAGGACACACTGCCAGGCAGCCCTTCCACACACCCCCAACCTGCTTTTCCTCTTCTAGCTGCTTCTCCCGCCTTGGAATAGCTGTCCGACTTGAAACAGGCCAAACCTAGTGCYGGCCTAGTACAGGCAGCTGCAGAAAAACGCAGAGGAAGAACGGGATGAATGACAGGAAAGGAGCGAATCCCAAAGAAAATACTGTCAGCGGAATTCACTGTTCTGCACTAAGCTCTGGAGGAAGCAGCAGAGCAGACAACTTGGGCAAAGAACTAGGAAGTGGCAAAGAAGAAAAAATCCTTAAGTCAGAGATGGATGCGGCTGCAGTACCAGCTGTTTAACCTCAACTTCTGTCAGCGAGGCATTTAGTAAAGTAGAAAGAAACACCATAATCTGGAAAAACAATCATAGCTTTTTAAACTATGAAAGTACGATTTTTAAACCTGTATCTTACTTCCAAACCACTGTTTTATATCCACACTTTCATGTACTGAAAAAAGAAAAACAATATAGCTAGAAGCTAATGTGCCATATTAAATTATTATTTAATTTCAGCATCCCTATGAGCTACCAGTTTTCTCTACAGAAACATCTCCAGATGTTTTATTATCTAACTGAAAAAAAATCCTTTTCATGCTCCATTAAAAAAATACATTTAGTGTTGCTCTCCCCACCATATTGTACCTGGATGAGTAAAGTCTTTGTTTACGTAAGTCCAGTTGTATTCCACTCACAGCTACACGGGACACRGGTGAGGTGAGATTTTTGTTTCTTGATTTTCATTACTGTTTTATTTTTATTAGCACTTYAGTATTATTTTCTTTTAATCCAAATGGCTTGTGGAAAAGGTATTTGGGAAGGGTATGGGTGGCATCATCCAATGCTTATAAAATGACATGTCACAAAAATCATGTTAGTGTCCAGACACAACATTTGAAATGAAACACCTATGAAGCAAGATGATTTCTATAAATTTAGAAATTATTTAAGATCTCTYTGAAATTTGAGTCTTAACACGGTAAAACAGCTCAATTTACAAAGCAGGCAAAGCCAATAAGGTTTAAGTTTCATGAAGTCATTAACAACACAGGAATAAAAAAAATGACGAACTATTAGATGTGATAGATGACAGCACCAAGCTATCATCTGCAATAAATAAACTAATATTTGTTGATAATAAGTTACATGATACAATAATGCAGCAGACTACAGCCTTTTCATTAGGATTTATGAAGACTAATGAATTCTAGCAGGATAAGAAGATCTGCTTGCTAAYTGAAAGCGGCACATGAGGAAGTACTGGAATTAGTTGCCTTAAAACTAACAGAGGTTTTGGTTTATGTGTATTTTTTCAATCACAGTGTGTTCATGAGCATGGAGGCAAGCACAGGATTTCAAGCTGGATCACAGCAGCACAGCTGGCAGGGCATGGATGACGATGGAGAGGAAGGGAATGAACAACTGCCACAGTATATGGACAGGCAACCTGCTAACACGTCCCACAAAGCAGAACTTCAGGGATCTTCACACAAGGCTCCAGGGACCTTGAAAGCCACGTTCCCAAACCTGCCACGCAGGAGCCAGGGCAGCTGCCAGGGCGGGCAGTGCCCCCAGCGCAGGGATTCGGAGCGTGGCCACTGCGCTGCACAAACAACTGGGCCTGCTTAAGGGACGTGCTCAGGTTAGGCCTGAGGTCTGTGCTAAACAGGCCCGCCAGCTTTTGCACTTCACTTCTTCTAGAGGCTCCGATACAGCAACTGCAGACCCAAACTTCCCACTTCGACCATGATCCAGACTTCCCACTTTGACCACGGCAGCAGCAGCACTGGCTCCAGGCCTTTAAAGGCCTCATCTTCCTTGCTCCTCCTCCTTCCCCAYGCACACAGATTTCAGAGCAGTCCTCTAGGCAAAGCTTCTGCAGGTCTGGYTAGCCAGCTGGGCTCCCTCACCCCTAGAACACGCTCAGGGCTTCTCCAGACCACAGTCTCACCTTGCTGAGGGCTGCCGTGAGGTGCTCGCAGAGAAGCTCCTCTCCACCCATGGCTTTTGCCCTGTGGCAAAATCCACACTGCTGTGTATTCCCTCCAGCAGCTTTCCTGGCTGCCTGCAGCAGCCTAACCCACAGGCTTCAGCCCTAGCAAGGCCCTACACTGGAGATGTACCTCTAAGGCAGAGAGAACCCCTCTGCGCCCCAACCTGGCTCATCAGTTTCCCCTTCCACGGCCACTTTCTGTTTTTCCCTCCACTCCTCAATGACATTTATTCATTTTCCACTTTGATTCTCCTGAGGTTCCCTCCATATGGGATATGATGCTACCTGACAGCATTTATTAGCATAGTGCATTTTGTATTACCAGCATCACGGTGCACCTGAGGCCGGGAATCATTAACATTTAACAGCTGCCCGAGATGATCACGAGAGGGCTCCGTGCAGCTCCTCCACTGCAGCTCAGTGCTCAGCCGCACTGACAGACCTTCCCGCAGCAGCAGCATCCCTGTCAGCGTGACAGGAGGCTGGGAATCCCCCGGGCATATGGAGGGACTGGGAGAGGGCAGATTCCTCCCTCAATTAGTGCCAATCACACCGCGCAGCGCGCTGCCCATTACGCTCTCCTTGATGGCTTCCCACGTTCAGGCTTTTCAAGCATATTCTGCCATTACCTGCATAAAACATGAACAGACTACAGGATCATTTGAATTTCTGAATTACTTAAAGTCCCTGACAGCTCACGTGTGTGCAATACCAAATTTTGTTTGCTTCAGTACAAAGCTTTCGAGCATTTCAACAGTTTCTCAGATTCTGACTGCCTTGTCAGATAGAACCCCCAGGGTTAAGTATCTGCCTCACAAAACTTCTTATTCAAGACAAAAGCTTTATTAAAATAAAAAGCCCCCAAACCCAGAGTTYTGCGTTTCACCCGGAGTACCTTGTCCAATATGCAAAACTCACTAACCTTTCGAGCAGTTCAGAAATCCAAACATTTAGCTGAAATGCACAGTGTCCATTACTCCAATCAAGAAAACTAACATTACAAATCCAGAGTGGTTTTATGCAGCTCTTTTTAACAACAGCACAACTGGCAAAATTTCAGTCTTTCCATAAAAAAAAAAAAAAAAAAAAAAGAAACAACACCAACAAAAAAAGAAAAACCCCCAGCACCCCCACACCAAGGCAACCACACACCACCAGACAAGTCTCTCGTACCACTTGTCAAAAGCAGAATACTGCTAATTGAAAGACCATCAAGTTTTCCTCTTCTAAACACAGAGAATGATAAAATGAAATGGGCATTAAGGCAGATTCGCAGCTGTTTTTCATTTGGTCATTGACCAAATAGAGATTTCAGAAAATAACCTATTCCTTTGATGTCCTTCACGTTCTAACTACCCTCTAGTCCTCATGGTTGTTCCTACCTGTCCATGCTGACGGGGCTGGGATGGGACACAATTCCCTGCGTGCAGGCCCCGGGTTTCCCGTTGTGCGGAGACGGCGCTGCAGGCTGAAGTCCTCCCGGGGCTTCCAGGGGCGATGCAGGACTTGCTACGACTGCAGAAAGAAAAGAGGCTTTTCAGAAAACCAAGTGACAACAGCTATCCACAAAGTAGGACTAAGTATTTCCTAYACAAGTCAAGGCCAATCAATTTTTTAAATAAAGGTAACACTTCCCTGACACCAGTGAAGTTTTAAAGCACACAGTATACACAGGGTCAAAGCTTTAGATTTGAATCGTGGCTTTTGCAGTCCAGAATCTTCAGATTATAATGATACAGAAAATTCCAGCATATAGTTTTGAAAATGAACCAAAACGGACTTCCAAGATCTGGCTACATATTATGCTGACACTTTTCAAGCAGCATAAGAGGCGTGTACTGGGACATCAACAATTGCATACTGGTATTCTTATTCTCACTTCCTGTGTTCATCACTGACTGTTACCCAAAAGGAAACGAAGAGAAGAAACATCCACGGGAAAGTTATTTCTTCAAACTAGCAGTAAGCCTCTACTACAACGTTGTATAGAATTACACAAAATTAGGATGTTCTTGTGCCTCATATAAACACCAGATGATATATGGTATTGACCTGCTTCAGCTCTTTTAGCCTGTAACTACAGCCCTCTATGGTCTATCTACAGTCACACTAAATCACATTCAGCTTTTTTAAATGGACAGCAGCAATTGCACTCTACCCTGTCACAATAATCTCAAGGACAGATTAGAATTCACAGGACTGGACATATTCAGCAAAATTACCCAAAATCTCAGACCTTCCAGTTGCTTCCATTTTGCTATGTGCTTAAAAAAAAAAGGGCTAAAATCTTTTATGGTAAATGTCTTAGGCTGATTTTCAGCATGCTTTTAGATGGAAGATATTAGCAATTAAAGTTTCACTGCTTCTACAAATGGGTACAGTCTTTAATATTTAAAAAACAAGTCTGGCAGTTCTGCTTTGGAAAGACAGAAATATCTTCCATTACAGAGCAGAATCTTAGCAAATGGTAACAGGTGATGGATTTTTTTTTATTTATTTATTGTATGACTTGTCCAGTCCATCAAAATCTTGAAGCTTTGCCAAACAGTAAGATTGAAAAAACAAACAAACAAACAMACGCACATAGTTTGAAGTCATCTGTGGGAGTTTAATGTAGGCAGTGAGAGCTGGCTCTAATTAATTTGCACCTTTAACTCAACAGCACAGCTAGATAAAAGCAAAGCCAAAGTGCAGAGCAGGCAGTGGGGTGTGGGCAGTGTCGTGTTTATCCTGCCACCCAAGGGCTCCAGCCCACCCTGGGGACTGGAAAAACCAGAAGCCCAAATTCCTCAGAAACTGCCTTCTGGTTTTCTACATCTGGGAAGATGGAGCTAAGCACAGGTTACGAAACCACACTCCGTTTCAAGAAACTGTTCAAAAGCACTCTTATTCTTTCTAAGGAAAATATATAAGCAAGTAATTACCAAAAACATGTAATGAACTCAGTGTCAAAAGTTTCCCAGCAGCTCTAATTATACCATTCATTTAACATTATAGCATTCATTAGCATTAAAAAAAATCAGGATAAGCAAACACTGCTATTTGTCCTCCCTGTTATTCAACTCAGATATGTGTGTGTGTGTGTGTGTGTGTATAAATATATATAAAAATAGAACAGAAATTAAGACAAAGGGAATGAGGTGAAAGATGTGGGAGAGAAGTCATGGGGTAATTTAGGACTATAAATAGTTTATTTAAATGAGAATTCTTTAGAGGAAAAAAAAAAGAAGACTGCAGCCACCACATCTGTAATACTATGTAACAGAAATTGTAGAATCAATGATTAAGCTGCTAAATTAGGCTAGTTAATTTATTTCTTTGTATAAATAATTAAACTTGATGACTCYCTCTTAAACATTGTGACAAGCCTTCTAAAAAACGCCAACATTTAGTAATGGCTAGCTACCTATACAGCAATTGTAAATAACAAATGTTTGGTAAGACTCCAGTTATAAACTTTCAGTGATTTTCTTGACATTTATGGCAATTAGTCTGCCAAGTTTCAGAACTCTATCTAAAGTCATTGTGCTTAATAGCCACTTATTGACCTGTTGTGCTTTAGGCACAGTTAAACACAATTACCTGTTTCTCCTGTAATATTTGCCTTTGATATATGTCCATTTTGCTGGTCATTAGATTTCTACAAAGGAAGCATAGTTTTTTAAGTTAAAAACAGCACTAAAGAAAAGACATGAAACGTGTCCAATATYTTACACATATGTTAGGAAGTAGCACTACCTTATCTACAGCTTCTACACGCCTAGTTCTCTTCATGATCTCCTCAAGCCTCTAGAAAGAAATGTAAGAGGGTAAGAAAGTTTGCTGATAATTATTAAAAAAATAAAAAATATATCCCAAAACATAACTGTCATTTATTAAAGTTGCACCTGACTACTGCAGAAAGGCAAATGACTTACTACTCTTAGCACAATTCTGTCCACTTTCACACTAGCAGTGCAGATGAGGACTTTACATCTTTTCTTAAGGCACATTAACATCTTAAAGAACTTTTTACTGCTAAGGTGGAAGCAAACTGCTAAGGTAAAATGAACTGTATTTTCTGTCTGTGTATGGACTTACCTTTCTCCTTTCTAAGCGCTCTTGCTCTTCCCTCTGAAAATGTTTTTCACGTTCTAACCGAATCCGCTCTGCCTCTTCCCGCAGGCGAGCATCCTCCTCCTTCTGAGTTCGTGGGTTTGAACAAACAAAATTAAAAATTTCCATTTGAAGACRGATTCAAATTAGTATCTATCTACCTACCTACCTGGAGCACCCTGAAAAGACCCAAGTTTACAAGTCCCTAACAAACTTCTCAGAATTGAATGCAGGTTTTTGACCCTTTGTCTCATGATGACAACACCGACAGATGAACAACTAAAACATCAGCGATCTTACTTGGTTCTGTTTATGTTCTCTGGCATGTGCACGAAAGCATACCAGATTTAAGAAAAGGATGTATTTGCTAACCTTGAACACTGGAGCAGCAGCCAGGAAAGCATTCAAGATACCTGCTTATCGAGCTGGTGGGTGTTTCGAGTGTCAAACGAAAACAGTGAAACGCCTTATTTAGCGGATAGAGTCCCCGCTTAATGTGACCAAGGACAAAGTCACAGGTACATATGGTACAAGCCTTTCATTCCTGCTGTTTTTAATTAAAGGTATAACTTCATTGGCACATAGTGCAGAAAAGCTTGTCTCCCTAAATAACAGTGTTGCATTATGGACTACCATAATAATTCATCAATGAAGACTATAACAAAGACTGAAAATACTATGGACATAACCCAATTTAGTAGATCTCTGTGAAAAGAACAGCATACAACATCTTGGAGATGGCAGGGGGAAAACAGCCCTGAGTTTAAGTTATGTTCCTTAAATAATCCTTTAAATGTTTACTTTCAGGCATACATTAAACCATATATCAAAAAAAAAAAAAAATCTATAAAGTAGATTGAAGTGCTGGARCTCAGCTGGAGAGGAAGGGGTCAGAAAAAGAGGGAAATTAGAATCTCCAGAATATCTACAACAGCCCTTCTTGAAGCCAGTAAACTAACATTATGGCACCATAGACACAGAAATGGGAGCAAGCTGAAAAACTGGGTTGATTCATTTTCTTTTTTTTTGAGTAATTGCATAGATTTCAAAAGAACTGTAAAAGATGAAAAGCATTCCTTGGCATGAGAAAAATTATCAAAATGTAACCATACCTCCCTGCCCCACAAAAGCTGTACTGGGCACGAGACTTGAATGCATTAGGGTTATGTTTCCAAGATACTGAATATTAAGTTATCTTGACATCTAGACTGTGAGGGACAAATATTTCTCTGGCCTACCACCATCGTTAAGTTTCCACAATACAACTCTACCGATTAATCATTTTTAGTCTGTTTTATCAGTATCAGTATCAGTAGTTCTAATTCCATAAGAGGGAAAAAAAAAAAAAAAGGCAAGGAAAAAACTCAAATAGTCCAACATACTCCAAACATACTCCAAAGAATAAATATCTTTGTTGTCTGCAGCACTCTAGGAAATGAAGTCAAACACAACCCCACCTGCTCTCTGTAGTACTTTAATTTTAGACGGCCCTCTAAGCTAGAGCTGTATCTAGGTGTAGGCAGCAGTTAGTCCCGGGCCCAGGCCTGGCAGGAGCGCTCCTACCTGTTTCTGCACGCGCTCCAGCTCCTCTCTCTCCCGCTGCTCTCTCTCCTCGGCCTGCCGGCGCAGCCGCTCGGCCTTTTCCCGCTCCTCCTCTGCCTCCCTTCGCCTTCTTTCTGCCTCCTGTCTGCGAGCTTCTTCCTCCTCTCGGCGGGMTCGCTCTTCAGCTATCCTTTGGGACAGCTCTTCCTTCTTTAGCCTGCAGGCACGAAGCAAACATAAGCAAAAAAAAATGCAGATTACTGACCCAAGAAACCAGYATTACTGAGGAACTAGGTAAAAATGTCTCTGATGTTTCACTCATAAGAGCACCAAAACATTGGAACCAGGTCAAATTAAACTGACTTCTCTGCTTCCAGATGACGTTGGAGCCCCATGGAAAACACAGCAAGTGGGGAAGCCCATACCCATGACTTCCACTGATATCTGGCTCATGAACTTTCTTAATTGAGACAGTATCTGTGATTTTAATACATCCTGAAAGATCTCTCTGCTATGATTTCAATTAATCATATTTTGAAGCAGTGTACATTTTGGATGCCTTGCCTTACCTTATGRCAATGACTCTTGAATTTAAAATGTACCTACTTTTGTCAATTTCTTGAACTTGTCAACTCTTAGTCTCATTTGATACCCTCTGTCCTTGTATTAGGGGAATAAATAACTTCCTCCCTTGATCTTTGATACTACCCACACTACATCCCTCTAGCAAGGCACTTAGCTTCTGACTGTGGCTATCACACAGCACAAGGGGCCAGACTGGCTACTCATTGCTGGTAGAAAAATGAGACACCACATCCTCTAATTCCCAGACGGGTCTTGATTCCAAGGAGGTCTTGAATTTAAATTATTAGGAATTTAGGAATTTAAATTATTAGGAAGAGGTAGGAGGCCACTAGAAACACATGCTGTCCACTGCCGAGGTCTGGATCACCTTTCAAGCTCTTCTCTCTCCCTCCTTTCTTGCTCCTCCCGCTCCCGTTGCTCCCTGGCCAGGCGCCTCTTCTCGGTGAGCAGCCTTGTTGCTTCCTCAGGATCAGTGGTACCTGCAGAGGTCTTCGTGGGAACTGCGGGTGGAGAAAGGGCTGCTGGAGCAGGAGGTGATGATGGGGTGGCTGCTGAAACACAGAGGAAGGAAAATCAGTGCGTACAGACAACGGTGAAGGTGACAACCTTTTCACACATGTAAAATTAAACAAGTTTCTTGAAAGAGAAAGGAAAAAATTTCAAATATTCTACAGTATTTTCAAGCTTACACTTTTTTTTTTTTTTTGAAATGACTCAAGGATGAACAAATCACTAGATGCTAGCAGCTCATATTCCTTAGGGGAATCTTAATTTTAAGATAAGCAAAAGAAGCTGCAGTTAAGGTTAAGTTGCAGCTGAAAGGTTAAGCCAGCCTCTCCGTGAGACCAGTAAGTGCTGAATGGGGCCCACCAGGAGTTACGGAGCCTAAATAAGCCACACAGTTTGCCTGACGCTCTTCCTCAGCAGATACCCCAAGAAGCCTGTGGTCCCACAGTCCCTTCTGCCCGAGCGGCTGCTGTGGCAGAGCAGAGCTGGAACTCTGCTAACACCAGCTACCAGCTGCCTGAGGGCATCTGCGAGAACAGCGAGGTGCACCCAAGTGCCTCCCAGCCTGCAGTCACTGCCACCTGTACCACACCTGGGACCCTTGCAGGTGGTTTCACCACACACACAACAAGGCAACTTATGGGGATCAAGACRCAGCTCCTGGAGAGTTTTTGCCGCTTTTAGTGAACCATGGCTTGTGTTCAAATGTGACTAGASTTTGCCATCATTAATTCACTAGAAAGTCTTCTCATGGAGGTAGACACAGATTAGAAAAACAAGGCAATAGAGTAACTTGGTCAGAAGTGTCAAAGAGGATTCTAACAACCAAGTCACTGTTTTCTGTTTCAGCAGACTCTTCTCCTCCTGCCCTCCCTCTCCCCTCCATCAAGGCAAGCATCTGCCTCCATATTAATCTCAAGACCACTTTTAGCCACCCTGTAGAGGTGTTTTACTTCACAGGAGCATCACGTAGTCATTTGTACATCTGAATCTCAAAGCAGGACACACATGACTATGTATTAATGCCAGCCCTCATTGCTCCACTGTAGATTTTTTGTAAGGAAACAGTTGCTCAGATTCCCACAAGCCTCCCTGGCATTCTCTAGCACAGGCACAGGGAAACTCAGCTCCATTTTCCCCCCTCTAGAGACCAAAGACCACCAGCCCACAAGCTAACTGAAGGAAGCACTTCCAGAACTGAAGGAAGCACTTCCAAGGTAATCATACATGCTGACATAGGCAAAATGTATGGGCAACAGTTTGAACTGGCAGTGCTTCCATAGGAAACGGAACCAGATTTTGGGAAAATACATGCAAATCTGTCATTGGGAATGGCAGGAAGATGGCTTTACCTCTGCATTTCCAGTCCTCTCTTCAGGATGTCTGAGCAATTTCCTCACCTCACTAAACCTTCCACAGACAGTTTCTCCTTCGTTTTTGTCTCACCCCCCACAGCACCCATAAACACAAATTCAGCTGCTTTCTCAGTGTGGAGTGCTCCCATCTACCCACTTCTCTGACTGTCTCCTTTTATCAAGCAAAATCTATGCAGATCTTTATACTTGCTTTAAGGCACTGACCTCCAGCTCAAAAGCTACATCAACAACAGTAATTTACAGCGCCAGGACCTGTTCTCCCACCCTGAGAGGAACTGGCATCCTCTAGCATCATCCAGATACCCTTATCTCCAAAGGAGCCATTCATTCTGCCCCTAGAGAGCTCTTCCCAGGCTGGGATAACTCCCAAGAAGTAGATGGAAACTTCGACAATTCTGGAATGGTTAAAATAAGACAACAACAAGTACAGCACAAGTACAACAACACTCCTTAAGCTTGGGATCCCTTTATAACTATTCTTTTAGTAGTCCCAGGCACAGAAGATGAAAAGAAATACCATGTGAGCTTGTGGCTGCGGCCTGGACCATAGGCATTCCAGAGACCCACCATAAGAGCTAGACAAGACTAGTGGCCGAGGTCCTGTGTCCAAGGCCCCTTTAATGTGTTAACCAAGAGCAAAGCAGGGCTGTTGCTCCAGAGGGGAGCCCTGCTGCTCCAGGCTGACTTCCCGCTGCAGATGTTGCACTGTCAGGTCAGCAAGCAGCTCGTTTCACACACCCCTACGGCAGGACACCTGTGTCTGGTGGGACAGCAGCTCACGCAGGCGCACCCAAAATGCCTTTAAACTTGGGTGGGTATTAGTCAGTCACATGAGACTTGGCTGCAGGAGCTTGTGTAGCTCTGCCAGCGATGAGGCCTTGCTGACCTCCCAGCTACCTGACCACAGAGCCAGACATGTCGCAGGCCAGTTTAGGCAGGTGGCTGAGATCAGCCCTTTCACTTGCAGCTCACACCTAAGCAGCCTCAGCAATGACCTTCTATCCCCAAATGCCAGAGAGCCCCTCTCCATATTCTCACATTCAAGCAGTGACTGGGAGTCGGCAGCTGAGGCCCCCACCTGCAGCTCAGGTGCCTCTCAGCTCACATCTAAAACGCTTTGCCTGAGATCTTGCCTTTGATCTCAACTCTTGCCACCTCCTCCAGCTTTCACACACATATCCAATCTGAAATGCTGATCACTTCAAMCACAGCTTCCCTCTTCCCATTCCTCTGCCTATTCCTGTCATGGATACTAATGGCTTCACTGCGGAATCCTTCTACCCCCTGTAATCTGTTCCYGCACTGAGTGGCCTTGTCACAGACCACTCAGGTACTGACTGATCCTGCAGAGGAGTCCAGCCCCTGCTCTTCCTAAATGATCAGTCACCATAACTCTCTAGCCTGCACCTTGCTCCTGGAAGCACAGTTATTAAACACGTGCAAAGYCACCTCAGTGATACCCCTTTAGAAGCAAACTTACACTTATTTTTATGTAATGCACACAAAAGCTTATCCCAAAAGCAGCGGAAGCCCACACTGTTGTATCAAATATCTCATTCTTTAAATGCCCACAATCAATGCATATATCCATTCATTATTTGAATCCATACTATAAGCTCCTTATGGGACTGAGCACAATGTGGTAGAATCTGGGTATTTGACTGAAATTACTGAAGTTTATCAGGCCAGAGCATCTCTTCTTTGTTTCTCCCATCCTATGCTTCAAGAACATTACTTTATTCTGCATATAGCTCCTTTTCCATTTTGCTTGGAGTGCTTTTCAGTGTTTTTCTTCAAATTCTTCTTTTTTTTTTTTTTTTTTTTTAAATCTGCCCATCCCTCTCTGCATTTCACTTTATCCTGCCACTCTCCCCCCAAAAGGTGGAGCTTTTGCAACAGCACAGGTGAACAGGAACCGTTTAATTTCCTCAGTACCATTGTACAGACTGTCTGCTGGACATTCTCTCTGCGCTCACTACACTTATGGAATGATTCCCTGTACCATTCATTTTCAGATCATTCTTGTTCTGTTTCAGAGTCTGAAAAGAATGTATCATCAAGGGAGAGTCAAAGTCCTGTCCAAAAGGGCAACAAGAGCTGTGAAGCCACACGGCCCARTGCAGGTTTACATGTTGTTCCTATTGCTAAAAACTTGGGTGGGCTTTAGCCTTTTTATACATCTCTCCCAATGAACACACACCTGAGACCAGAACAGTCACTGTCTTAGGATTAGCTGTGCATTCCTCACAACTAACAACACRTACCATTTTCAGGAATGTCCTGAAGAATCTAAATGAACACTTAATAGAAAACTCTTTAAAGCAGTTACACTGTTCCTGACAGAGRCAAGGAAAACCACGAAGAGCTCTGAGACATTCCTTAACCCCAAAGAGCCTCTCTCCTTACCTTGAGGGAGCTCTGCCTGCACAACGGGCTCTTCCTGACTTGCAGATTCCCCAGCGCCTGCAGAAGTTTCTTTGCTCTCTTCTGCCTTCTCCTCACCGGCCTTTTCAGGCTCCTTCTCTGGTCCTTTATTCGCACTCTCTGGTTTGACCTCTTTTTTGACCGGCCGGATGTTGCCAGGAGAGGGAGGACGCGCCTGGGCCGAGGAAGCTTTGGAGGGAGCCGGTGGGGAAGTCACCTGCTTGGGTGTGCCAGGCAGGAAAGGCAAAGACTTGGACGCGTGCCTGGGTAACCACAAAGAGACAGAGTCCCAGTCACCATCGGACACGYGGCTCCCGATGTGCCCTATCCACCCGCTCGACATCTGCCAGAGCTGGGGATGAAGCAAAGTCGCTGCTGACGAGCAGGACACTCAGAGTGAAGGTTTAACCACCACACACGATGCTTTCTCTTTGCAGCTCTTCAGATGTGTAAGCACTGAGCCCAGGCAAGAGAGAAGAAACCAGGCGCATCTCTCCTTCTTTCCACCTCCTTACAACAACAGTAATTTTCTAGAAGTTGAGCTGTTCTTTTTTACTTTGTTGCAAAGAGAAAACACCTACATCAGAAAATAACTTTGTGTTTTTATTTCCCCTGAAACTAACATCAGAAAACAACTTTGTGTTTTTATTTCCTGTGAAACTAACATTTAACAATCAGAACCACCAAAACTATCTGTAGCTTCAATTCCAGCTAAGCGTGTACTTGACTTACCAAACTGGAGAGGGAGCTGGTGATCTGGCTTTGGGGTTGGAAGAAAAATGACCTCCTTTAAAGGTGGCTGAGAAGCTGGATGATAAATGRTCTCTCTCCTTCTCTTTTTTGTCAGTCTATAGTTCAGCAAACAAAAAAATGAAGTCAAAGCAGAGTTCACGTGGCGGAGGAAAGCAAAGGAAACTCAGCTAAGGATGAAGGGACAGGAGGCTGAGGAGTCTGAAAACAATTTGTGCCAGGTTTGGAGTTTCCACACCCCATTTAACAAGTTCATTACAGTAATTCCTGTACCTAATCCAATGCTGCCTTTGTCGGTAAATACACTTTCGACAACAGGCATATTCTTAATCATGCTCTTTGTCTAAGATGTTATGGGCTAATTTCCAGATACTTAGTTTATATAGAAAAAAAAAAAACCCTTTTAAGGTTTGCTCTCTGTACTTGCCACGCAGTACCCTCCACTGTTCCCAAAGCAAACACTCCTCACAAACCCTGGGCTTATTTGACCAAAGAACCACTCTCTAGCCTCCAGCCTAGCCATGCAAGGTCCCCGTGCAGCATGAGCATTTTGCTTTTATGCTTATAAGCCAACGCCATAAATGACCTCAAAGTTCGGATAATACGCCACAGTAGTTATTCTGTTCTCTTTTCTCTTATTTGAAGTAGATACTTCCTTTGAAACATATTAAAATTTTAAGTATCTATCTCCTTTCTGCCCTTTAAACACATTTTTTTTTAAAAAAAAAACCAGGTTCTTGGGATTACAAGCTCAGGTTCATGGAAACCTGAAGCATGGGATGACTGGAGAGTACAGCGAGCTGCCACTCAGCCAGCACGGGGCATCACACTGCTTTACATCTTCACTGCTCAAAGGGACTCTATAATGTCTTTCCTGAGCTTAAAGCCAGTGTGACAACTAGGAAAGAAAGATGGAAAATCATTTCAAGAGCACATAAATCCCTGATTTATCTTTATCTTGGGGCTTCATTAAGGTTAAAATTAGTTAATTTATATTGGCCAAAACACCACTTACTACTAGGGAGAGAAGGCCCCTCTCCTCAAGTCMCTGCTCTATGAAGAGTAATTAATCAGTTCTTAGGAAGCAGCCCTTCCCGAGCKCAGCTGATTGATGCGATGGCAACCATCCCACTCACCACAGCACYCACAGCCAAGAGAAACAGAGCCCCAGGAACAGAATTTTGCCTTACTAGCAATAATCAGGTACTGCAGCTGCATCACGTGTCCTGAAGATAGAGTATCAGCTAATTTTTCCTCAACATCAGTAAGGCTGGACAGAATTACTATAGAAGTTTACTAGTGAAGCTTAATAACCTTCACAATATACCATCTATTGAAAATAGCTCTCAGCTCTCAGTTATTTTGTAATAASAGTAATTTTATACGGTTGCCTTCAACAAAATGCATCAATGTTTCTTCTTTTTTATTTAAGTAAAAAAAAAGAAATGAGAGGGATCTGAGAGGTGCCCACCTCCTGGCTCTGGAGACTGTGATGCACTGCATTCAGAGCATGAGATTCCTCCACAGACACACTGCAATGCTTTGCCTTAACTTGAACTGGAAAGGTCCATCCTTGGGACTGAGAGACTAAGCACGAGCTGGGATTCATGCTAAATCATCTAAGCATCTAAAGTTGCTTCCAACAAGGTTATCAATAGCAGCCTTGCTCTTCTGATTTTGCCAACCAGGCAAAACAGAAATACCAGCACCACTTACACGACCTTCTGTTGAGGTGACCTTGCTCGCCTCATACTCTATTAGCCAAAATGTGGAGTAGAAGGTAAAATATAACTGCTTACATAGAGCAGATAACATCTGAACTGGAGGTGGCTGTTGGCTTGGAGCCTGGGCAGCATGAATTTGTTCTGCCTGTATCACTGTACCCTAAAAGCCTGGATCAGTCATAGCACTGCTCCCAAATCCATTCAGAACTGGCAGGCTGTGGGAGACCTTGYTTACAAAACCGTGTTCCCAAACGACTCTACTTTTTCAGAGAGGAAGGGTTATTAGCTTGGTGTCCCCAGGARGCGAAGCCAAAAGGACCTGCAGTTAAGTACACAGATACATGTGTATGTATATGCTTCCTCCCATCACACACTGTAAACCACAGCTCACCTAGACTTGACAAAGACCTCAGGAAACGTGAAGTTCTAGAGGTTTGTAAAAAAACAAACAAATCAAAAACCCCCATTCACCCCAAAACACATCTTCGAGCTAGGGGCTCAAAAGGCAGCCGGGAATCCACATGAGAATGGGACCGTGCACACACCCTCACTGCTTCCTCACCCCTCCCGGGGAACTAAGGCGCCCGCTCTGGAAGCAAACGTGGGTGTTATCCCAAGCAGACTCCTTGATGCCTCAAATCTCAGGCTATGCCAGCACCTCAGGGAACAACTCGGTCAAAAAGGCAACGAACCAGGAGGCGAATCCTCGGGAAGGGGATCTCCCGCCCCCAGACAGAGACCCAACCACCGCACGGGTAGCCACGCGTGTCCTTGCGACTGCTCCTGCTGCAGCAGCGGGGTGAGGAGGGAGGTGGTTGTCGCCAGCCCRGGCGCCAGCAGCAGCCTCACCCCGGCGGGATGCGCCGTCCTCCTGCGTCCCACGGCGTCCGGCGTGGAGGCGAAAAGCTTTGCGCGCTCCGCCGCGGTCCGGCAGCTCGGGGCCTTGTAGGACAGAGGGCTGAGGGGGCTGCAAGACGCTGAACGGGGACAAATGGGGATAACTACGGTGTGGGTGGGGTTTTTGATTTAGTTTATCATTTTAATTACAGAGAGGCATTGGAGGAGAAGTGACAGAGGAAAGCCAGCATGGAAGAGGAACAGAGAAAGACAGAAAAAGAAGGCATTAATACACAGAGGAAGGAGTAATTCTCATATCAGAACCATCATTTGATGCATTAGCTGTGGTATAATTCTAMGAGTATTCTAAGTAAGAGGCTACACTCAACTACTTTTACATTTGTTAAAGCTAATAATTTATTTTTTTAAAAGAGGTATGTTACATAACTATGTAATAGAAAAATTATGTTTTCCTGTTACATTTTTTTTGTTTAATGTACAACCAGCGATTCTGAAAAAGCTTTTGTTGCAAAATGACTGTTCTGATATTGATTAGTTCAGTGCATTCATCGACATGAGATTCAATTATATTTGGAACAGAACACAACCAAAGCAAAATTAGATTTCCTTTTAATTGGTCTTGGAAGTGGGGGGARAAAAATAAAAGCAGATGCACACAAAGATGAAAGTACAATACATTTACAGAGAATAGCCTGGTCTGGGAAATCAATGACATTTCTTTATATGAAAGAGAGAAAGTCATACCGCTTGTTAAACTCACAAGTTTTTGGCACAGTCTGCTAAAACTTCAGAAACAAAATGCATATTAAATATATATTTTAGCCTATCTAGAATACAYTGCTTTGCATTCCATCAGAAAAGTATTTCAGTATAAATACAATAATTTTTGATTTGATTATAAAAATATGTACCCCATAAGGTCGACTGTTAGCACAAAAATATAGTCTAATATTTCAGCATTGTCTACAAATTTAGCAGGCGACATTTTTAAGGTGTTCAGCTTAGGAGTTCTAGGTATTTTTGATAATGCTAGAAGAACAGAGGATTTGAATACACTATTGATAGCAACTATTTCACCCATTATAAAAAAAGCCAACAAGAATAAATCAACTTAGAAATGAACATCTGAATAGGTAACCACAATGGCACCTTAGGCTTTGCACAAGGACAACACCCATTAGCAAAATACCTCACACCAATGGCAAATTATCAGGTTTTGGATGTTCAGACCACAAATTCAAAGCAAACAACACTGCATTCGTAAGGAATGTTTTGCAGTAATCAAGTATTCTTGGTCTTTCTCCCAATTTATCTGAAAGAGCAGACTGGAAAAAATATGTTATTACTTTAGAATTTTTTCTTATTTATTTGTACCTTGTCTCCTGGTCATTTATTACAGTCTTAAGCTAATTCTTCAGCATGTTACTCATAGGAAGACAGCACAGTTCTATATGACATCTTTTATTTTATTTTATTTTATTTTATTTTATTTTATTTTATTTTATTTTATTTTATTTTATTTTATTTTATGATCATCCCCCTTCCTTTTCCCCACCCATTTCCTAAGGGGATAAGAGGGGAATCTCATCCCTGAGACCCCTTCAAGCACAAGGAAAGAACACAGCTCCACGCTCAGTTACTCTTACGATAAAACTGCTGTTTAACAGTGGCTCATAAACTTAACAGTATAAACTCTGCAACTTATTATGAATTAAAAATATAAGTCTCTTATGGCAAGGGTATTCATGCCAGGTGATGTATGTTTAATCCTGTATTAAAAAGTGCCTGCCTTAGAGACTGACAAACAAGGTAACACAGAATCTSACTTTTGTTGGAGCACCCCCAACCCAGACAGGCAGCAGGGGCACACACTGTATTTTTAAGAGCTTACAATGGAAGAGTTTTCCTCCCTCTGTGCATCAATCCTCTTGATGCACGCTGATTATTTGAAGTTACCACAGAGGATGACACCATAAATATTAAGAAACAAGCAGTTAATTTTCATTTGTGATGTTGCCAAACAATGCTTTATGAAGCGCTTCCGATGAGATCATGTACATTTAAAGTTATTTTAGACTACATTTTGGTTTCTGATGGCTATTAAGAAAAAATACAGTCTTATGCTTGGTCTCTGTAACAGCTCACTTAACATWCATTTTGAGGATGTAAATCTGTATTTAATTTGATTTTGATTTCTGCACTGTAATTCATCTTTACAGCCAAAGGGCAGGGTAATTTCCTAGGGCATAATGAGAGGCTGGGATGAGCTGAGTGCCCAAGCTCAGCTGTGAGCCATTCCCAGCACCTGAGCACTAATCTCCAGGAAGCGGCCTGCACGAAGGGACTGCACTTATTGCTCCTGGGGATTCAGTCTGGGAAACAACGGGCAGACGGATTATTCTTCTGGGTGGCACAGGCCCAGGTAGCAGAGGGAAGGCATTGCAGGGGAATTACTGTGAATCTGCTGATGCACCAGTCATCCCAGCTACTTGCAGTCTTTCCCAATACTGTTTGTTTATGGTTTAATTGGTCAGCATACAGGAATGGCAGCCACAGAAAAACCTACACACTTGCTCCAGTAAAGTAACCATTTACAAAATGAAGACCTGGCTTTCTCAACCCCGCCTTGATAAAGAGCTGCATTTCCAATTTCCTGTTTGTAGATGACAAAACATATTCATTTCACATTGCTGCTGCTTTAGAATATGAACCCTGAGAAAGCATCTATACTTAGTAACTGTGCTGTTTGCAGCCTATCATCCACATTTTTGCTCCTACTTTGCAATCTCTGTGGAAATGTACCACAACCTGATTAGCAATAAGAGTTCTTAAGTGAAAGCTTCTTTAAAAGTAATCTTAGCAGATCTTCATTCCCTCTTACCTTCTATATCCTTTAATTAAAATAAGGATCTGTCCATATGGGAGAGATAAACGACTAGCCTAGATTTAAAGATTCAGTAAGTGTAGTAGCATATTGCTATAATGGTAAAAACATAGGGCATGATCAAAGAAACACCCTTACAATAAAAAGAAATGCAACTGCCACTTACTTGAAATACCCAAGAGCAGAGAGTGGCCTGGTTGTCTTTGAAAGACTGTTTTGCCCAGACTTTATGTTACCACCCATCAACATTTTCCTATTTCTGCAGTTAATTTCCTTCTCTGTAGTAGGTCAGAGAGCTGTTGAGCAGCTGACAGAGAACTTGGCAATAACCACAGCTTCCCTAAACTTGCACATTTAACATCCTGCACTAGCAAATCCACTACAAGCAGGGGTCTGTCATTCCAGAAACCCAACAGGTTTCTTTGTACCGAGGGCAGCAGGCTGCTCCTGCTGCACTCGCTGTGGACCTGCACCTCCCAGCACTGGACATTTCTCAAAAGCCATGTCCAGGGCAGCACGGTTGGTGCAGCACAGTCGTGCTGCAGGTGCTGCACTTGTTGCACAGACGAGGCAAAAAGATAAACCAAGAGAAAGGGGTGAAGGCAGAGAGAAAGAGAGGCATGGCAAGCAGAAGTGCTCCACAAGCTTTCATGCTGGTGCACAGCACAGCCCAGCTTTTCAAGCTCATTCGGGGATGCCAGTGTACACACACAAGAGCAAATTTASAACAGCCTGCACAGAATCCGGAAAAATAAGTGGCTGAGGCCTGAGCCTTCCCCGTGGAGGGTTACCTGCGTCTCCGGACAAGGCGGCGGTGCTCTTGCTGCGGGCCAGGAAGGAGTGAGTGGGCGTCAGGAGGCGGCTGACGACGCTGCTCTCCCAGGGGCTGAGCTGCAGCCGGCGAGCTGGACGGGCCCCAGACAAGCAAGAGGTTAGAGCAGGCACCCCGCGCATGCACCTCGCCATACACCCCGTGGATGCACGGCACTGTATCCCCCGTGGGTATAGACCCCGCAGATATACCTGGAATCCTGACCTTGGCCTTCTGGGATCAAAAACTTACTGAATGATCAAGATCGCTCTGTTTTCACACTTCATTCTCACTCTATTTTATTTCAGGATTTCCCTTAGGACTACAGATATCTGACTGCTGCTGCTACCAACTGTGACCTTTGGCTAACCTGCTATCAAAGTGGCAGTGATGTGTTGCATCCATGGCTCATTCCCTTCTAGCAGGAATGGCAGGGTAATGTCTATAGGCAGGAAAGCAGACGCTGCTCCTACATATCAACTTTGACAGAAATGTTGGTGTTTAAAAAAAAA